ACTGATTGGCTCCTGACTAGGGAAGCTCGTGGATAAAGCTGGAAAGGAAAAGCCAGTTGGGAGAGATCCTCTTTTGACTCCAGGGTGCCCAGACTGTCTTCTCCTGCCTCACCCCTTTGCATGTGTGTTAAGAGCAATTGTACATCTTGTTGTCAATTGCTGACATTGTTGATTGTTGTTGATCTGAACAGACTTGGACTGCGGTTAAACCAGCTCTTCTTACATTCTTCAAACCAGTTACCAGACTCCTTTTTGATTTAAGTTTATTTTGGAAGCAGTAGGGAGGAGGATGCCATTTATGTTATGTCCACCTTTTTCTCCTGTGTTTGGCTAGAGAGGGAGTGAGGTAAGGTATTTGTTATTCTTTTCTATCTTATTTTGGAAGGTTAAGAAGGCTTTTCCCCTATAGTCAGAACTTTATGTTTATTGTTTTGGCCTTGTCCCCTCCCGAAGCCTATTGACGCTTTCCGTTTCCTTTTGTACTTTGGATCACTCCAAATAAAGTCTTTTTGAGTTCTAAAAAATCTGTGTGATTTGTGGAGTGAGACAGGGGAGGAGAGTTCTTGGTTGCCAACTTGTTGATAATTTCCTTGTTACTGTCTCCCTGACCCCTAGACTGGGGAGGCACGTAACACAATCTTGCATTATTTCTACTTATTTTTAGATTAAGTAATTAATGATTCTTCTCACTGAATATTGTGCAGCGCACACTGCCAACTGTTAATAAGTGAATATAGTAAATGAACCAGCAGGTGTTCTTTGGTCACTTTGCTCAACTCTGTTAAACCGTGTTAAATATGTTAAATATATATATTGACGTTTGCATTCCACGATAAACAATGTTGTCACGTGACTTCAGTGCATGTCAGCGGCAGCCAATACTCACTCTGGAAATGGAGGATTTGTGGCGATGTTGCACAAACACACGAGTCTCAGCGGTCACAATACGTTTGAGTCAAACATTCGTGAGCAACAGACATTAGTGGATGCCGCCTCTGTGTTCATTACTGGGTGTTTACTGTATTTATCTGATATATCCGCTCTGCCATAATCGCTCTCTCTCCTAATCCGGGCGATCTGGGTGTGACCTTCTGCTTCTCATTAAGACCCTGTTAAACGAGGAGAGTCTGGACCGTAACCGGACACATTCACACACGCTTCTTGCCTTTCAGAGCTGAACTGACTCAGTTATACGGACCGTTCTGCACACCTGAGCCTCATTTATAACCGCTGCGTCGCACACAACAGGCCCTGAGTTGTGATTCATAATAACAAACTTGACGGGAAAATTTGCGCACCTGTAAGAAAAACTCTGATCCATGCGAACGAACAGTTTAACGACACCGATGATGATCTGAGCGACTAATATTCATTATGAGTCCTAATCATAAATACAGTGAAGTTCACAATAACAGTTTAAATACATAAAAGAATGATTTAAACTCTGTTTTACATCTGATATACACATTTATATTAAATATGCCATTCTCATTAATGGAGTTAAGCACTTAAATTACATGAAATCTTTACCGAGAAGTTTTTTATATTGTAATAAACCGTAATATTAGTAGTGTATGCGCTGCTGTGTTTTAATGTTCGCGCATGATAACAGCAGAACTCGTGATCTGAGGAAATATTAAGATAATAATGATCAATAATGCTGTTTCCATTAAAAATATAAAGCAATCAAAACACTATTAGGCCAGTGGAAGAGATTGAGAAAAACTTTCTCTGAAATGTATTTTATACTATTTTGATTTATTTATTCATAAACAATGCAAGGATCGGCTACTAAATGACTTTTAGCGACGCACATCCGTATCTCATATTCTCCTAATCTCTCGTACCATTATTATGCATATGCAGATGATATGCAGATGAGATATAGTAAACGAGGCGTTGTCAGCTCATATATGGTTATTTGGGGGAGGAGACGCATGTGAACACACTCTTCCTCTGACTGGGTTATAAAGGCGTACGCACGGGTTTATACGTCTGAATATTTTTTGGCGTACGCCATTTTTGGGTTTCAGGCGCACGTACACTTTTAGTGCGGATCCTACGCAGTTTTTAAACGGGACCCTGGTCTGTCATGTAAAGCCGCTGACAATTAATGAAGGTTTGACTGATGATGAATTTGCTCATTCGTTTAGGGAAGGATTGCAGGGTGAAAATAGAAAAGACGCTTGACTTTGTTATTTGTTCATACAGACGATCAGTCAGTAAATGCTGTTGTCGATCCCAAACACTGAGCCATCAGTAATACAAACATTTATGTCAACATGTTCATTTATTTATTTCAGTGTAATTTAAGTACAGCTATTGTTTGAATTACCCGATGTCTGTGTGAGGGGGATTCAGGCTCTTAACGGAGATTGAAAGAGTCTTTGTAATGTGAATCTCTGACGCTCGTGAGGAATCGTGGCTCTACCTGTCGCTCGTGTTTGGGTGTAAACACACAAGTCTTCGCTTTACAGATCAACATTCCTGAGGAAACCTGACAACATGTCCTTATTGCTCAGGAAATTCTAGTACAGTTACTCATCATGAGCCTTATTGGTGATGCTTGTTTAGGCTTCGGATTTTAGTTAAAATGCCCGTTACGCTGTTTTAAAGGCTCCTAATGTTGTTTTAAAGGCTCCTAATGTTGTTTTAAAGGCTCCTAATGTTGTTTTAAAGGCTCCTAATGTTGTTTGAGAGTCTCCTGAACAGGTTCACATGCTTGTAAAGTCATAAACACTTCCTCATAATCTCCACTGCAGCTTCAGCTCTTTCTCTCAGTGTCTGAAACACTTCCATCAAGGATTCAGCCTCTCTAAGCTCCGCCTCTCTGAGAGCTGCTTTGCTCTGATAGGTCAGAAAGCAAACGCTCATTATCATATCTGAATCTCAGCTCTTGATCACAGTGATACGAACAGTGACGATGGCGTGGGTTTCACCGTCTCAATCTCAGAAAACAGCGTCTCCTCGACACGAGCAACACGAGCCGAACTCTTCCAGTCTCAGATACACTACAGTGTTTGAGGGCGGAGCTTAGAGACGCTGCTCAGCCAATCAGGACCAGAGGCTTTATTTTCATTATTGAGCTTCATGTTCCGGTGTTTCAGGTTTGTAGGCGTTTACAGTTGCTGACAGTGAAACTCTACGAGTTATTATAAGTTACTCTGTGTGGCTGAAGCTCATGATGGTCAAACCCACATCCGCTGTTCCTCCAGTCTGTAAACACACACACACACATACACACTCTCTCTCTCTCTCTCACACACACACACACACACTCTCTCTCTCTCTCTCTCTCTCTCAAACACTCACACACACTCTCTCTCTCTCTCTCTCAAACACACACACACACTCTCTCTCTTTCTCTCAAACACTCACACACACACACTCTCTCTCTCTCTCAAACACACACACACACATACATACACACACACTCTCTCTCAAACACACATACACATACATGCACACACACACACACACAGACAGACACGCACACAAACACATACATGCACACACACTCACTCACACACACACACATACATGCACACGCACTCACACACACACAGACAGACACGCACACACATACACATACATACACACGCACTCACACACACTCACTCAGTCACACACACACTCATTCACTCACTCACTCACACACACACACACACACACTTTGATGACCTCATTTCCTGTGCAGCCACTTGTTGATGTTCTTGTTATTGGTCCTCTGGGAGCATCTCAAGGTTTCTCAGGAAAGTGTGTGTGTGTGTGTGTGTGTGTGTGTGTGTGTGTGTGAGTGTGTGAAAAAAAGAAAAATGAGAGAAAATGACCATTAGAAGTAGTGGTCCAGCAGCTCCAGTGGCATCTCCATTCCACCCCCCATCTCCATCAATCTCATCACAGCAAACAAACAACACATGCTAATGCTCCTAAACCAGGCTTCGCTTCACTCATGAAAGGCTGTGAGATTCTCCTCTTTCATTGAGTTTGTTCTGTAATATATTAACATAATTAGATTACATTTGATCTCAACATAAATCAGGCGTGGCTTCCCATAACCCATAGTTCTCTGTAAACGCTATTAATACACTCGCTATTCATAGAGCCGTCGTTAGAGCAGAGGAAGCCTTTGGTGAGAGTTGAAGTTATGATCCAGATGCTTGCAGATTATTTACTGTTTAAAAACATAAGCAGAAGTCCAGCCGTTTATATAAAGCCCTGGCCGTGAGTTATTAGCCGTATACAGTCGTAAAGAGATAATCTAGCATCTAACATGACGTTTCTGATTATTGTCTCACCTTTCAAATCTGTGTGTTATTATATAAGTCGAATATTAAAGGAGAGATTCAGCAAATATGATCTTTTCATACAGCGAAAGCAGACTGAGTTTAAAAATGATGAAAAGCACGATAAAAGTGCCATCAAAGCATCATGAAAGCGCTATATTTGAAATCTTCTGAAGTCATGCAATGCTTTTATGACTCACGGATAATTATATTATTATTTTTGTGCACAGGCTTATGCATTATTGTTATGATACTGCGATGGTACTTTTTTTTTAATGGTGCTTTTAGGATTTTTTTTGTCTTTTTTAGAGCTTAAAAATTAAAACAAAACATAATAGGGAGTAAATTAGACTTTATGGGGTGAATTAAAGTCGGCTTGATGTGGAGCTCTTCCTTTCTCCGCTATTGTGTCGTATATCGAGTGAAAACGCTTCAGGAACAAGAAGACATGTGGGCGGGGCTTGATTGGGTCTGTGGGGAGTTGATTGGATGTGCTATTGGCTGATCTCATGTGAGTGACAGGTTAAAGCCCCGCCCACATCATCAGAGAAGAGAAGCTGCAAGAGGAACTGATTCTGATTCAAGATTATTAACACAATAATGATGATGTGCACCTGTAAATCATTTAGAATAAACACTGCGATATTCCATAAAAGTACACAAAACCAGAATAGTCATTTTTGATTTCATGGGGACTTTAACATCATCAGTGCAGGACTCTCGGATGACTCTCTTCTGGTCTCTCGTGGGTTAAACGCCAGTGATTTCTGTGGCCGTGTAAAGTAGGTCTGTTGTTACCAGTGTTCCCAGTGAGAGCTTGGCACGGCCGGCACCGGGAGCGGTCCGGATCTCGTGTCCCGGCACAGAAACACAAGCTCAAACTGGGCCGTGACGGAGACCGAGGGCTGCAAATACTCCTTCAGAATCACCGGTTCAGGATCCGGTCAATATTCAAGCCTATAAAACAAACATTACACTCAAATTCTCCTTAGGAAGACATTACGGTCATGCATTTGGCAGATGCTTTTACTTGCATTGCATTTAATTATACATTGATTTTAGTTCATTCAACTCGCATTTATTTATATAGCGCTTTTCACAATATGTATTGTTTACAGAAAATGCATAATTACATTATAATTTAGAGTGATCTGTTATCAGAGGTGACTAAGTTATGTATTTCAGAAATGTACATCAAATCACAGTTAGCTAAAAATGTATTAATTTTTAACTAAAAATGTATTAATTTAAACAATGTATTAATTTAAGGCAGAAACGATGAGCTCATTGAAGTAAAGAATACATGCTTGTTAGCAAATAGTTCTTATATACATGAAAAGTTCATGCAATTTCCCCTTCATGCAATCAAACCAATGCATTTTTTTCACTAGTGATGCAACAACATTTCGGCAACAGAAAATATACGTCTGAAATGAAAGTGAACCGTGAGCCGATCATCTCTAGTTACAGCACCAAACAAACATGAACATCAGAACTGTAAAAGATACAGAACCACTTCCTGAAGACAATCAGTGTTTCAACCACGGAAATATGTCAATAAAACAGCTCGTAATGTGCATATTTCCCGTAATGTCTCATTTAACCTCAGCATTTAATGACCATAAACTGAGGAGCGTTTGAATAAGCACATGCACGATATTCATTATATGTTTTCTTGCTGTCTTGAACACAGGAAAGACGTGTGTGGATAAATGTTGACTAAAGGTGTGTGTGTGTGTGTGTTTCGGGTCTGATCATGAATATATTTTCTTGTCTCGTGTGGTTCTGTTCTCTGCGCCGGTAGAACCAGTTTAACCGTGTCCAGTGACCCACTTACAGGACCTGAGAGAGACACACAGCTCGCTGTAGCCTACTTACACTAGGCTATATATACACCAGCACATCACACTCATTCAAAACTTTCCTCTGGAAGTGTGATGATGAATTTAATGTGTGTTTGTATTTACGGCTTCATTTGTCACTGTCGTTCTCGGTTTACAATTAGTGTTGCTCACACTGGTCTGAACGCAAATGAGTTTCTAATCGACTAATTGGTCTTAATTGGCTGGTTTTGGGATCACCTGATGTGTGTTTACATACGATGTATTCATGTTGCAGACTGCGTGTGAATCATAAAGAGGTTTGATCACCTAGAATACTTTACAAGTGAGTGAGTGTGTGTGTGAGTATGTGTGAATGAGTGAGTGATTGAGTGAGTGTGTGTGTGAGTATGTGTGAGAGTATGTGTGAATGAGTGAGTGATTAAGTGAGTGTGTGTGTGAGTATGTGTGAATGAGTGAGTGATTGAGTGAGTGTGTGTGTGAGTATGTGTGAATGAGTGAGTGTGTGAAAGTATGTGTGAATGAGTGAGTGTGTGTGAAAGTATGTGTGAATGAGTGAGTGTGAGAGTGAGTGAGTGTGTGAGTGAGTGAGTGAGTGAGTGTGTGAGAGTGAGTGAGTGTGTGTAAGTGAGTGTGTGTAAGTGAGTGAGTGAGTGTGTGTGTGTGTGTGTGAGAGTGAGTGAATGAATGAGTGAGTGAGTGAGTGTGTGTGTGAGAGTGAGTGTGTGTGTGTGAGAGTGAGTGTGTCTGTGTGAGAGTGAGTGAGTGAGTGTGTGCGTGAGTGTGTGTGTGAGTGAGTGTGTGTGTGTGAGTGAGTGAGTGTGTGTGTGAGTGTGTGTGTGTGTGAGTGAGTGTGTGTGTGTGTGTGTGAGAGTGAGTGAATGAGTGTGTGTGTGAGTGTGTGTGAGTGTGTGTGTGTGTGTGAGTGTGTGTGAGAGAGTGTGTTTAAGTGTGAGTGTGTGTGAGTGAGTGTGTGTGAGTGAGTGAGTTTGAGTGTGAGTGAGTGTGTGTGAGGGTGAGTGAGTGAGTGTGTTTGAGTGTGAGTGAGTGTGTGTGTGAGAGTGAGTGAGTGTGTGTGTGAGAGTGAGTGAGTGAGTGTGTTTGAGTGTGTGTGTGTGCAGATCAATTCAGTTCAGTGTTGATTGGGTTCAGATCAATAACTGTTGCATAGTGTCATTATCAGCTCAATTCAGTTTATTTTGTTCTCATCTGAGGGTACGGTCACACGACAACGATACGCTTAAAACTGAGACGTTCTTCCTTTGAGTTTCCCACCGTTGTCAAATCGATCCCCATGCACACGGATCCGCGAAACCGAATAAAAACGCTGTGTTCTGCTGTCAGGCCATTAGATGGAGATTAAACACTATAGACCGAACACGTAATACGCATGAGCATGACGTTCATGCACCCAAAACACGTTTGTGTGTGTGTGTGTAAATGAACAGCCAAAACGCTTGAAAGGTGTTTAGTTGAAGGCAGTGTGGTGTAGACAGCGCCCAAAAGAGTCAGTGCAGGCAAATCTACAATATTACTGAATATTAAGTGTCTTTTAAAACAGGCTAGAGAGACATTTTCACACTTAAACATCTTTAAAAGATTTTTTACTTACAATTTCTACCCAATAAAATGTTTTAGATTTTGACAAATATAGATTCATTATAAAAATGCCTATGGTATTTTAGGACTTGATTCCAGGTCGAGAAACCACGAGAATCCTGTTTCTTCAAAGAGACAAAAAATGACTTTCTTATTGAAAACATCTTGACTTTCTTTAAAGCTTATTTTAAAGCTTGGTTTTGTCTTGTTTTATGTCATCTTTGGGGCCCCTAGTGGCCCCGGACCGCTGGATGAGGACGGTGTGTATGTGGCCTAAGAGAGAGTCACATTGTTGTGTGTGTCGTTCTGTACGGACTAGCGTTGTCAGTATTGCTTATCCGTGGAATAATTCCCACAACCAGTGTTGTGTGACTCATTACAAGTAACCCGAGTTATGTAATCAGATTACTTTTTTCAAGTAACTAGTAAAGTAACGCATTACTTTTAAATTTACAGCAAAATATCTGAGTTACTTTTTCAAATAAGTAACGCACGTTACTTTATTGACTGACAGCTCTCCTGTCCTCGTGTTGAGAGAAATTGTGAGTAAATGCAGAGACGTTGTGTGTGTGTGTGTGAACATGATGGTTATTGTCGATCTAGAATAAATGTGAGCGTGCATTTACTAATCTCTCTTGCACAAAAAAGATTCAGTATTCCTTAAAATGAATAAAATCAGAATAATATGTAAACCTCCAATAATTAAATATGTTAATTAAAACAAATATTTTTATGCATTTAATCTCACTTTATTGACCAATGCACTTGCTGCTGATCTTCAGTTAAACCATAAGCAAAAAATACTTTAGATTTTTTGTTTTTATTGGTGAAGTGTTAAACTTTCTACACATGAATATGCATTTCCTTCAGCATTATTATTTCACTTTTGGTCTGAAAGGGTTTTACATTTGCCCAAAAATAGAACTTTTGATATAAAAACAAAACAAAAACCAAGTCCAGCCCAGGCGAGAAAAAGTAACGCAAAAAAAGTAACGTAAAAAGTAACTAAGCAACACAATTAGTTACTTTTTAAGGGAGTAACGCAATATTGTAATGCATTACTTTTCAAAGTAACTTTCCCCAACACTGCACACACACACACACACACACACACCATCAGTACATGATGTAACCAAGAAAAGAATCAAGACACTTCAGTGTACGGAGAAGGAGAGAGAGACGGAGAGAAAGAGTGCGAGAGCTTCATTACACACGTGCAGCGGAGAAATGAGTTTCCCTCGGACACACACACACACACACACACTGAGACAGAGAGAGACTGAAGCTAGAGAGAAAGTGAAGCGGACTGAGGGACACACACATCAGTATCAGTGTCACAGAACCGGACGACATGCAGGATTTAACATCAGGTATGTGATTAAAGAAGAACTGTGTGTGTGTGTGTGTGTGTGTGTGTGTGTGTGTACAGGCAATCTTAGTCCAATCATTCTCTCGCTAAAGAGACTCAATGTTTAAATAAAGTATCGGCTTCTCTTGAGATGTTTCTCCTCATATTCCTCAGGAGAAATAGCGTTCTCACACGTGACGCAGCGTTATAGAAATGTGACGCGCAAGTTAAAATACGTTTTAAAAATTGTTTTTTTTTCTCTCGACTGACTTGCATCTCGAGTTTTTAACCGGAGAAACACAGTTCTGTGTGAACCGGAGAGTTTAGAGCTATTAAACTAATGTGGAGGAGCTCAGAGCAATGATGAAAAAGGTTCATCTCTAGGTATACATCATCTTCATACACACACACACACACATCAAGGTATGAAACAGGTCAACAACATGTGACAACATTCACAGCTTGCTGTACTTCTGTATCGGGATGAACTTCAGTGTGGAAAAGGCAAATGCAAGTACATGTGACTTCAAGCAAATCATTGTTCTCCATTTAATCTCACTGTTGTCTGGGAGAAAATGTCAGATTTGTCAGAGGAAAGTAGGAGGAGTATTTTACACTCAAGTCACTGTGTTTTCTGCAGATTCAGTGTGAACACGACACCATAATGTTGTAATCCGTGTTTTTAAGGACGAGATGTGTATCTGTGATCCTGCGTAAAGCGTGAGATGCTCGACTCCAACACTGACCCAGTTCATGTTTCTCAGGTTGCAGTCAGTGGTTCATTATATTTACATTTATTCAAAGTCACTTACAAATCAGGAACACATGCAATTGTTCATAGTGCACAAGACTAGATTATAGTGAGTGTGTTTGTTTATGGTTGTGGTTAGTTGAGCTGTTTAAATCTGATCCACCACTGAGGAACAGAGACGGCGAAGGGTCTGGAAAATGACTTTGTGGCTCGTTTTGAAAGAACAAACAAGTGTAAGAATTAATTGTTTTTTAATGCTTGAAGTTCACGTGGAAGTATGTTATTGAGACACTTTTTAAAATGCAGGAGACCGCAGTAATTCTAGACTTTTAATGAGTCATGTTTCTATTTTTATAACGAATGAATCACAATAATTTACATTATAATAAAAATTTTTTGTCTTCATTATCTTTTCATTAAAGTCCCCCTGTAGTCAATAATTATATCCCTTAAAACTCATCTTTGATCACCAAAATGATATATTGAAACATATTTTCCTTGAATGTAACTCGACACCCTCGCCTCATTTAGTATGTGCGGTTCTATGAATATGCAAATGAGCCCCGCCTCCACTCACTCACTCAGCTCAGAGATCCACTGGTTGACGATCACACGTTGATCTGATTGGTTACAAGGTCGTTTGTGACGTCAGAAACACCAGCGATTTCAAACCGTGTGTTTGAGACTGTCTTTGGTTCACTGCAGTTTTAAGCAGAAAATGCTGTCGACTTATGAATTTAACGAGTTAAATATATCATTTCTGCTCCATCAAAGGAATCATGATCAGTTTGAACGGCCCGACCTGGTCAGACTCGACTAATGACCCGAGTTTGGGATAACCTGTCTAGCTTTAAAACTCGTTTAACCAGTTTGAAAACTCATTCATTGAGCCGTTCTGAAACACAGAAGTAAAACACAGCGTTTCTCCTCGACATTTTGGTTTAAGCAAACGGAGCGCAGATGTTCTGAACGGTAATCAGCTTTAGTGCTCGTATTGTTTGAAACTGTCGAGGCCGATCGAACTAGATTAATCTAATCTAGATTAATCCCATGTGATGAGCGCAAGTGAAAATGATGTCTGAATGTGTTTTGGTGCGTCTGCAGGTCTTCTGAGCTCCCGGGTCGTCAGCCATGGCGCTGATCCAGTCTCTCCCCGTGTCCACTGACCACACAGGACCAGGCCTGATGGGAGCGATGGGAGCCGTCAGCACCATGAAGCCCAATCACGTCACTTATCCCGACCGGGACAATATAGAGGTCAGTACCAACTTCCGCAAGGGAACGCCGGGATCGGGACGCCTGTTATCCGACGCCGGCAGTCGGACCCCGTCCAGCAAGAGGAGAGGAATCGCCTGCAGGGCGAAGGGCTTCGGCACTCGCTCGTATTCCCATGAGGACTTGATACAGGACTGGAACGATAATCGTTCGGATGTGGGAATGGCTGGTGCGGACGGGCCTCCGAAACTGGTTCCTGTGTCTGGACAGTTGGAAAGGGTGAGTAGTTCATTCAAAGAATTTTTGTAAAAATAAGTTTCTGATCTTATTTTGAAGGATTCATACTGTTCTTGTTTTTTGCAAAAAAAAAAATTTAACTTGTCATTTTTCATTAAAATATCAGAATTTTCACATGAAAAAAAAGAAAAAGAAATGGTGAGTACAGGATTAGCGATTAATAAAAAGAGTACTCTCCTATCGCTACCATAATAAAGCCCAAAAATCAAATAAAAATAAATAAAAAGCGTTTATTTAAAAAAAATTAATTGCATCATATCAACCAATATTACACATTTTATTACATTCAATTTACCAATATTTTATTTTATTCAATTGAATTTTTCATATTTATTAAGTGAGCGCTTGATGACTACAAAGGTAGTTAGTTAAATAAATAAAAAATCCGCATCATATCAGCCAACAAAATTTTATTACAATTAATTAATCAATATTTAATTTAATAAAAAAAAAAATTTATATTTATTAAGTGAGTACTTGATGACTGCAAAGGTAAAGTTAGTGTTTAAAAAAATTAAATAAAAAGTGTTTTTTTATTTGCATCATATCAGCCAATATTAGAAATTTGATTACATATAATTTATCCATATTTTATTCATTTTATGCAATTAATTTTTTTTAAATAATCATTAAGTGAGCGCTTGATGACTGCAAAGTTAAAGTTGGAGTAAAAAAATAATAAAAAATAAAGCGTTTATTTAAAGGTGCAGTGTGTGATTTCTAGACATCTAGTGGTGAGGTTGTGAATCGCACCCAACAGAAGTTACGGTGGTCGACAGGAAGTGATGTCATCGTCGTCTGAGACAGCAGAGAGTAGCCAGCAAAGCAATGAGGCTTTTTTTAAGCAAATTAGGTTTACTTAATTATTCAGTAAATGATGTTATTGCGAATATTATTGTGACTTGTCCATCATTGTGTCAGTGTTTTATTGGCTGACTTTAGCTAGCATCTTTGCATGAAGAACAACATAGTGACGAATCGCGTTTGTCCGCTCAGGGCCACCGTAGAAACATGTCGATGCGTGTGAGTAGAGAGAAACGCCTCATTCTAAGCTAATAAACACATAACGGTTCATTATGTAAGGTCTTCATACACCACTGAACACATAGTTATGTATATGATATTGCATTTCTGTCAACAGATCCTCCTAAATATTACTATATATTTAAATCTGTAACTGAACCTGAGAGTCATCCAGTAGACGTCACTAAAATCTCATGTATTTTTATCAGTGTTTACATGCTAATGCTCCCATTACTCATCATTTCTGACTCTGTTTTCTCCCAGAATGCTCAGCAGGGCATAATCAGACCCACTGCCTTCAAACCCGTCATTCCCAGGAGCCGGAACGCCGTGCAGTTCTTGTCTCCACGACCCGGCGCCGGTCTCTCGGGAAGCCAAGGAAACCTCAGCAGGTTTTCTCCGGAAGACGAGGATCTCGCGCCCGGCAGGACGGCAGAACGGCGCAGCTCGTACAGCGGCGCTCGCCACGGCTTGTTCAGCCAGTCTTTCTCCATGACGGAAGCGGCTCGCGACTCGTTAGCGAACCTCCCGGCGTATAACCAGAGCGAGGCGAGCAAACCCCACGCACACTCGAACTCCGACAGCGGGCGCTCCTCGTCCAGCAAGAGCTCGGGGTCTGTGGGAGGCCGAGGACAGATGATGCTGTCGGATATGGGATCGGGAAGACCTTCGCCTCCACCCGTCGAGGTCTACGAGACCATCATGAGGGATCTGGAGGAGAAGCTGAGGGAGAGAGATCAGGAGCTACAGCGACTCCGGGAAAACCTGGATGAGAACGAATCCGCCATCTGTCAGGTGTGTGTGAACGCTTTCATCTCTCAGACCCCTTTTACACCAAAGCATCTTGAGAGCCGGTTCGGAGCCGGTGCCTACTCGCGAACCAGTTCTGTGTGTTTCCACAGCCAAAGAACCGGTTCTCGGCCAGGAAAATTGGTTCCAAAGCGGCACCAACTCTTTGCTGGACTAGAACCGTTCTTTTAGCACGTCATGCTAACGTCGGGGGCAGGGTTACTGTGACCAACAACACCGCGGGAATGGGAAAGCTTAGACGTATGGCGACGTACACAGTGACGTAACGACATCGTTCGCTGGACTTTCTAGTCAGTGGAAAAACAAACAGGTTCTGAGAAGTTGAACCAGAACCAGTTCCGAACCAGTTCTTTTTTTTGGTGGAAACGAGGTATTTTAGGACCATTTAAAGCTTTTAATGTCGTTTATATGTGACCATAGAACACAAAACCAGTCACATAGGCCAATATTTTTTAAAATTGAGATGTATACATCATATGAAAGCTGAATAAATAAGCTTTCCGTTGACGTATGGTCAATATTTGGCCGAGATGCAACTATTGAAGATCTGGAATCTGAGGGTGCAAAGAAATCTAAACATTGAGAAAATCTCCTTTAAAGTTGTGCATGTGTGTTGCACTCACTCACAGAAATACATGTTTTATATATTTATGGTAGGAAATTTACTAAATATCTTCGTGGAACATGATCTTTACTTAATATCCTCATGATTTTTGGCATAAAAGAAAAATTGATAATTTTGACCCATACAGTGTGTTGTTGGCTAGTGCCACAGAGACACCCGTGCGACTCGAGACTGGGTTTGTGATCCAGGGTCACAAATCACGATGACTCACGAGTGTTTGCGCTGAATCTGCGCAGATTTGACTTGCACACAAACTTCCCCAGTAAAGTGAGTAAACATAATAAGTAGTGCTGTCAAACGATTAAAATATTTAATCGCGATTAATCTCATTAATGTCATAGTTAACTCGCGATTAATCGCACATTTTTATCTATTCTAAATGTCTCTTGATTTCTTTTTGTACCATTCTTTTTTCTCATTTTAATGCTCTTATCAACATGGACAAGTGGATCGGCTTGCTTTGTGCAAATGTTTTTTTTATTGAAAACAATATTGGCATATACTGTGTTCAATTTCACGCTAACATTCTCACTTGGAGCAAATAATCTCTCACACAATGTAACACTGTCCATCAATAAAAGGGTGAAAGAAATACTGACGAGGTCCTGATATTGACGAGGGGGTGGAGAATTCGCATCAGCTGTGTGTGTGTGTGTGTGTGTGTGTGTGTGTGCTTGGCCATCATCAAGTGGTATCTCAGACTGGACGTGCTGCGATGACGATAGCTCAGTTCACAACGACAAAACACACAGATCACTTTGGTCTCGTCAATGGAACCATTTGGCACCTTTTTAAAAGTAAACTTTCCATTCAGAATCTTATTGGCATCCATTTCAGCGTCTCGCGCTCGTCATCCACTCAAAACGTAACTATTTGGCCGACTCGCAAGCCCAAACAAGTGTGTGCGGCGCGCCTGTTGTTTTGTTTCCGGTCTAGCTAGATCCGCTTGCGCTTTCAAAACGTCCTCGCGCGGCGCAAGCCATTGAAATAAATGGGTTTCATAGCGCAGCGCATGCCGTGTCCTGTTGCAAAAGCATGTGAAAAAAACTACAAAGTTTGCTAGGCCAAAAAGACCGTTAATCGCGCGATAAAAAAAATTAACGCCGTTAAAATGGGTTTGCGTTAACGCCGCTAATAACGCGTTTAACTGACAGCCCTAATAATAAGTAATGCATAAGTAATGCTCGTGATTTGACAGCGTTTCCCGCCAGTTGATAATTTCAAACCCTGATCCGAACTCAAACTGAAGACTAGTTTCTAACAGATTATATGCTTGTGTGTGTGTTGGTTTAGGTGTACGAGGAGAGGCAAAAGCGCACGGAGCTGGAGATGGAGGAGTTCAGACAGACGTGCGCCGCTAAGATGCAGAAAGCGTCCCATAAAGCTCAGCGTGAGCATCAGCTCCTGCAGCTCCAGGTGTTTACGCTCCAGCAGGAGAAGAAGAAGCAGAACGAGGACATGACGCAGATCCTGCAGGAGCGACAGAGACTCGAGGAGCGGTGCAACTCCTACGAGCGGGAGCACACACACCTCGGACCCAGACTCGAGGAGAGCAAGTGGGAGGTGAGGAGGAGTCCGGTCACAGCGCTATAAGAAGTATCGGCTAGGGACTAGCTGAGATTGTGAGACTATGCTTAGGAAAAAAGCAAGATTTAGCTTTGCATGCGTTTCTCAGCTGGTTCTAAAACTGCAGTGAACCAAAGACAGTCTCAAACACACGGTTTGAAATCGCTGGTGTTTCTGACGTCACAAACGACCTTGTAACCAATCAGATCAACGTGTGATCGTCAACCAGTGGATCTCTGAGCTGAGTGAGTGAGTGGAGGCGGGGCTCATCTGCATATTCATAGAACCGCACATACTAAATGAGGCGAGGGTGTCGAGTTACATTCAAGATATTTAAAGGGATGAAGACATTTTTTGCAAGGAAAAACATTTAAATGTGTAATTTTGGTGAATAAAGATGAGTTTTAAGGGATACAATTATTGACTACAGGGGGAAGTTAAACTTCAAAAGGCTAATTTTTAAGTCCCCATGAAATCAAAATTGACCATTCCTATTTTAAAAACACATTATTTGATACATAGTCTTATCTAGACAAACCATCTGCCGTTTTATAACAAAAATAAACATTTATATACTTTTAAACCACAAATTCTCGTCTTGCACTAGCTGTGACGCGCCACACATTACGTAATCAGGTTGAAAGGTCAAGCATGACGTAGGAGGAAGAGCCGACCCAGTGTTTACAAAGCAAACGTGCAAAGACATTTAAGTCAAACGGCATTTAAGTCAAACGGCATTTACCAAAAAATAAAAGGTAAAACAACAACATCCGACATCGTTGTTTGAGCTTTTACATTTTTGTGTTGGAGTAAATTATCAGGAAATTTTAATTCTGAAGTGAACTAATGCTTTAAAGCCTCTTGAAATTATAGTTAAAGGTGCAGTGTGTAGAATGACAGCTAGTGGTGGAGATCGGCACTGCAGTCCAATTACAAATATCACAGATCGTCGTTTCCCGCCTCCTCAGACTCGACGCTCACGCGGGCCGCCAGTTTGAGACGCGCGACAGGAACGAGCGCAGTGGACAATGAAAATAGGCAGATTGTCACGTGTAGGGCTGCAACAAACGATTATTTTGATAATCGATTAATCTAACGATTATTAGAACGATTAATCGACTAATCGTCTATTATTTCGCAGACTAATCAGTAAGTTTGGAACGATTATTCAGCTTTTCCAATTAGTTAAAACATTGAGTTATACATATTCTAACTATAATATAAAAAAAGAAAATCACTTCAGCTTTTGAAATAGTTGTTTTAATGAACTTTGAGCCAACTAAACAGGTCATTCTCTTTAAGTTTTCAGATTTCGGTCCAACTCAAATCACACACAAATGCTCTCTAAGCATTGTTTAATAGGCCCACTGCTTTTCTTAGAACTGAAACAGAAAAAGGGACATTTACTTCAGGACACAAAGAATGGTAAAATATTAATCTGCAAACAATTATTATAATTATAAAATTACAATCTTTTTTTACATGACAATTTAGCTGACAGAGACGTTCTCATTCACCTTTTAATTTATAGTATGATAAAGTAACTGCCATGATATTCTTCCTATATCATAGGAAGGATATAACATCTCGTTTTGTAAGTCTTCATGATTATTGAACAAAATACAGGCAAGTGATAAGACTATAATAATACCTAATATACTAATAGTGTTACAATAATAAAAACAGCCCTGACTCCTAAGCTCGATCAAGCTTTATTCTATACAAAATAAGTCATCACATTACTGTAATTATATTACTATTGATAATATTATTACTATTATTAGTAGTATTGCATTCTCTAATAAAGAGAGATTTGCCGCTGGTTAGTAGGCTAAGCTCCAGCTGGAGAACACTCACTTCTCACCGGCTCCTCTTTTGCCGGGATGTTTCCTCTTGCACCCCAACATTGCACACGACAGCATTCTTGATTTGAAGTTTTGTAAAACTTTCCCAAACCTAAACCTTGCTAGTTCGGATTCGTTTGCACTGACTGTCATAATTCGCGCTGTTTTCTCTTCTACCGCAATAGCATTTGTAAGGGCTGCACTACACTCTAGCGCTACAGCGCCGTAGCGGTCAAATCGCGGGATTGCAGGCCCTTACATTAGGTCACGTGAGATCAAACGACTACTTGACAACAAAGATATTTGTCGACAAATTTTTATTGTCGACATTTTAGACAACGTCGACTAATCGTTGCAGCCCTAGTCACGTGTAGCATCATCACAACAACACAAACAGTCCAGCCTGGAAACACACATTTCACAGTAAAATAACCGGCCGTGGAAGTGTTGTTCAGAGAAACGAGTGTGTGAACTCAGCATGTTTCCTCAATATATCCAAATATATGGTATTTTTATGCTTTAGTAGAGAGAAACACTTACATACAGCAGCTTTAAGATGTTTGCATCCACGCTTTAAGTGATTTGTCGCTGTATCCCTCAGGTGTGCCAGAAGTCCGGTGAGATTTCGTTGCTGAAGCAGCAGCTGAAAGACCTTCAGGCGGACCTGGCTCAGCGAGTCGGTGAACTGGTGTCGGTGCGCGGGCAACTGAGAGACGTGTGTGTGGAGCTGAAGACGTGCCAGAGTCAGCTTCAGGAGGCACACACCACCTCACACACACGAACCCTGGAGCTCGAGGTGTGCGAGAACGAGCTGCAGCGCCGCAAGAGCGAGAACGAGCTCCTCAGAGAGAAGATGAGCCGTCTGGAGGAGTCGACGTCGCACGAAAACGAGGATCTGAAAGCCTCCAAGCATCAGATCGACCGCCTCAAGGCCGAGCTCGCGTACGAGCGCCAGCATGCGTCCGATCGGGGCGTAGCGTTCGAGAGCGAGAGGAAGAGCTGGGAAGAGGAGAAAGATAAAGTGATTCGATACCAGAAGCAGTTGCAGCAGAACTACGTGCAGATGTACAAGAGAAACCGCGATCTGGAGCGATCGCTTCGTGAACTAAAACTCGAGCTCGAGTCGAGAGAACAGGACGACGAGAGCAGCGGAAACGAAGTCACGTTCGACGACATCGCCGCGACCGAGATCTGAAATCATCTTTGTTTTGAGGAAGGCGTAGCGGGAAGCTATCACGCTAAAGCTAGGTAATCGTCACACTGGGATTATAAAGCGAGAAATGATTCTGGGCCGATTCTGAGATTTTCCGAATGCATCGCGATTCTCTCTCGAATCGATTCTGAGCTTATTTTTTAACAGCGGATGGTCTTCCCATGCCTTACACACACCACCTGAACCTTAAAGGGATAGTTCACCCCAAAAATGAAAGTTCTGTCAGTAATTACTCGCCCTCGTGTTGTTCAACCCCGTAAGACTTTCGTTCATCTTCAGAACACAAATTAAGATATTTTTGATTAAATCTGAGAGCTGTCTCACTCCTCCATAGGCTTCTATTGTAATTGAAACTTGCCGGCCCAGAAAGTTAGTAAAGACATCGTTAAAAAAGTCCGAGTGATTTAAGTGGCTCAACCTTAAGTTTTTGTGCGCAAAAAACCCCTAAAATAACGACTTTATTAAACTATTCATGTTCTTCTCTGTTGGCCTCGACTAGCCTTGAGCGCCATCTGCTGTTAAAAACTAGCCTAGGGCGCCATTAAAACTAGCCTAGAGCGCCATCTGCTGTTAAAAACTAGCCTAGGGCGCCATTAAAACTAGCCTAGAGCGCCATCTGCTGTTAAAAACTAGCCTAGGGCGCCATTAAAACTAGCCTAGAGCGCCATCTGCTGTTAAAAACTAGCCTAGAGCCGTCTGCTGTTAAAAACTAGCCTAGAGCGCCATCTGCTGTTAAAAACTAGCCCAGAGCGCCATCTGCTGTTAAAAACTAGCCTAGAGCGCCATCTGCTGTTAAAAACTAGCCCAGAGCGCTATCTGCTGTTAAAAACTAGCCTAGAGCGCCGTCTGCTGTTAAAAACTAGCCTAGAGCGCCATCTGCTGTTAAAAACTAGCCTAGAGCCGTCTGCTGTTAAAAACTAGCCTAGAGCGCCATTAAAACTAGCCTAGAGCGCCATCTGCTGTTAAAAACTAGCCTAGAGCCGTCTGCTGTTAAAAACTAGCCTAGAGCGCCATCTGCTGTTTAAAACTAGCCTAGAGCTGTCTGCTGTTAAAAACTAGCCTAGAGCGCCATCTGCTGTTAAAAACTAGCCCAGAGCGCCATCTGCTGTTAAAAACTAGCCCAGAGCGCCATCTGCTGTTAAAAACTAGCCCAGAGCGCCATCTGCTGTTAAAAACTAGCCCAGAGCGCCATCTGCTGTTAAAAACTAGCCCAGAGCGCCATCTGCTGTTAAAAACTAGCCCAGAGCGCCATCTGCTGTTAAAAACTAGCCCAGAGCGCCATCTGCTGTTAAAAACTAGCCCAGAGCGCCATCTGCTGTTAAAAACTAGCCCAGAGCGCCATCTGCTGTTAAAAACTAGCCCAGAGCGCCATCTGCTGTTAAAAACTAGCCCAGAGCGCCATCTGCTGTTAAAAACTAGCCTAGAGCGCCATCTGCTGTTAAAAACTAGCCTAGAGCGCCATCTGCTGTTAAAAACTTGCCCAGAGCGCCATCTGCTGTTAAAAACTAGCCCAGAGCGCCATCTGCTGTTAAAAACTAGCCCAGAGCGCCATCTGCTGTTAAAAACTAGCCCAGAGCGCCATCTGCTGTTAAAAACTAGCCCAGAGCGCCATCTGCTGTTAAAAACTAGCCCAGAGCGCCATCTGCTGTTAAAAACTAGCCCAGAGCGCCATCTGCTGTTAAAAACTAGCCCAGAGCGCCATCTGCTGTTAAAAACTAGCCTAGAGCGCCATCTGCTGTTAAAAACTAGCCTAGAGCGCCATCTGCTGTTAAAAACTAGCCTAGAGCGCCATCTGCTGTTAAAAACTAGCCTAGAGCGCCATCTGCTGTTAAAAACTAGCCTAGAGCGCCATCTGCTGTTAAAAACTAGCCTAGAGCGCCATCTGCTGTTAAAAACTATAGCCTAGAGCGCCATCTGCTGTTAAAAACTAGCCTAGAGCGCCATCTGCTGTTAAAAACTATAGCCTAGAGCGCCATCTGCTGTTAAAAACTAGCCTAGAACTAAGCTCAGAATGGATTCGAGAGAGAATGGCGATGCATTCGGAAAATTTTGGAATCGATCCACGAATCGTGATGAATCGATCCACTGTCCCGCCCTAGTGATCGTCTACCGCCGCACTCATTTCAGAAATGCATAAAATGCAAAAAACTGTTCTTAAGTTTGTTACATTATTTATGTGGCCTAAAAATACATTTAATGGACTCTGTGTCAATTATGTTTGGGCACATGTTTGTAAACTCACAGAAGTGCACTTTTGTGTCATTAGCCGTTTCCATCCAAAGTTGTGCGTAAGTATCGTAGGACTGTGAAACGATCAATCGCATCCAAAATAAATACTGGTTTACATAATATATGTGTGTGTGTGCTGTGTATAATATAAATACACACATATGCATGAATATATTTAAGAAATATTTGTATGTATACACTGTATATATATTTATATTATATATAAATATAAATATTTGACATATAAATAACACATTTTTCTTAAATATATACTTGATGTGTGTGTATTTATTTTATACACAGCACACACACCACACACACATTTATTATGAAAACCAGACTTTTATTTTAAATGCGATTAGTCGCGATTAATCATTTCACAGCCCTAAAGTATTGCATAAAACATTTGCAAATAAAGCCCCATTTCCATCACCTTTTGGCGAAGATGGTGCAAAGAATCAGTAATAAAATGTAAAATTTGCTTGCAACTGGGAAAGCCTCCATAATAAATATACCTGCGTCTCAGAGCGTGCAGATGAAACACTATAACAAACTACTGATGTTTGGGAACGCAATCGTTTCTGAGAGGTCATTATGGCTCTCGTTTGAGATGCTGCGATGCGATTGGTCCGCTGGTTAGTCCAGTTATCCAATCACATCCTCTGTTGAAGAAAAGGTCACGTGACTTTGTTGTGGCGCATCCAGGAGTTTATCCGGTAAATGCATTTCCATCGTTGTTTAAGCGCATGTTTCCTTATTTTGACGTTAACATCCAGTGTTCATGCGAGACACCAAAATGCACAACTCGTGGCTTTTCCCTTCATTAACATAAGAAAATAGACTTCTGCTCAGTGTCTTGATTCCTAAAGCACAATCACACTGCGATCGCATCATGCCAGAATTACCGTTATTGAGGATCTGATTAATAAAAGCTGCTCATGCGTTTGTGAAATCATAATTATAACGTTTGGAAGCTCAAGCTGCTCTACTTGTGACGCATTAAAACCAAAATATCTTTCATTCATCAAGTTGAATGTATTTATGAAGTATTTTGGTAATTCTGACATGAGCTGAACGTGGCAATATTCAAAACTAAAGTGAGGAATATGATCTCTGTATCCATTAAAGCAACTGACTGTTATATTTGTACCAAAATAAAAGCATTACTGCACACTTTAGACTCGCATACGGTCACATAACCTGATTGTGCACACATATAGAAGCGTAGCCACTGTGAATAGACCAAAGCATTGCTGGCGTGCGTTTAACCGCTCTGTTACTTGTGGGTGATTGTGGTGGTATTGTCATTTTTTTTTAATTAACAGTATTTGTATGAAGCCAATACATTGTATATTTTTCGTGCTGTATATTTAATGTTCCTATGAGATGTTTGTAATTAAACACCTGCAATTAATCAACTTTACTGGTATTTTATTCGATATTTATGTTCTTGAAAACACTGATCTTTGTAAGAAATTAAGTGTCACCAGAGCAATTAAACCAGGATTTATTAGTATTCACTAACATGTGTGTACATTATGTTGGATGGGTGTGATTTCTGAGTATGTTTCTTTGAGCGGTTTGGATCGACTCAAACTCGGATGATGTCACTTTATGTCCCCGACATGATTCTGCAGAACGTTACCGGATTGTGGACATTCATAAAGTATGCTTTAAAGATAAACTCGTCAAACTTTTCAAGCTCAAGCTAATGTCAAGATAAACGGATCACAAAATTCACGGTTCGGATCATTTACGTTTTTTGAGCCACAGATCGGATCATTTTTCATATATATATTACTTAAATCTGACTTGAAGTTCTTCAATACCACATCAATAACTACTAGCCTAACTGATAAAGTTCCCACATTATTAAAAACAAGTGAACAGTCAATAATAAAATAAGAACAAATACACAAATGACAAGCAGAGATTAATACTAAATAACACAGTTACAAAGTCTAACAGTGGTATTCAGGTATAGAAATTAATAATTAGGCCTAAATGTAAAATAACACTTTTTGTTCACTGTAGAAATTAAATATAGTTGCATCTTTTGTTAAAGCTGTATTTGGTTGTTTTATGAACATTAATGACACAGACGACAGCAGGAATATTAGGCTACTGTCACTTTAAGACCGATTAAACTGACACACATCCGGTTTCTCTCTCAACTGTTCACTGACAGAACCGAGAGAACACTTGCCCAGACGGTGTTTAGACAGAATTGTGTGTGTGTGTGTCCGTTCAACGGCAAGAGAACGCGAAAGAGAATCAGTTCAGTGTTCGAGTGCTGTCTGAAACGCCTCTCTCTCTCTGTGTGCACTTCGAGTGTGTGTGTGGCTGTGCGGAGTGTGTGTGTGGCTGTGCGGAGTGTGTGTGTGGCTGTGCGGAGTGAGTGTGTGGCTGTGCGGAGTGTGTGTGGCTGTGAGGAGTGAGTGTGTGTGGCTGTGTGGAGTGTGTGTGTGTGTGGCTGTGTGGAGTGTGTGTGTGGCTGTGCGGAGTGTGTGTGTGGCTGTGCGGAGTGTGTGTGTGGCTGTGTGGAGTGTGTGTGTGGCTGTGCAGAGTGTGTGTGTGTGGCTGTGTGGAGTGTGTGTGTGTGTGGCTGTGTGGAGTGTGTGTGTGGCTGCGTGGAGTGTGTGTGTGGCTGTGCGGAGTGAGTGTGTGTGGCTGTGTGGAGTGTGTGGCTGTGTGGAGTGTGTGTGTGGCTGTGCGGAGTGTGTGTGTGGCTGTGCGGAGTGTGTGTGTGGCTGTGCGGAGTGTGTGTGTGGCTGTGCGGAGTGAGTGTGTGTGGCTGTGTGGAGTGTGTGTGTGTGTGGCTGTGTGGAGTGTGTGTGTGGCTGTGTGGAGTGTGTGTGTGTGTGTGGCTGTGTGGAGTGTGTGTGTGGCTGTGTGGAGTGTGTGTGTGGCTGTGCGGAGTGTGTGTGTGGCTGTGCGGAGTGTGTGTGTGGCTGTGCGGAGTGAGTGTGTGTGGCTGTGTGGAGTGTGTGTGTGGCTGTGTGGAGTGTGTGTGTGTGTGTGTGTGGCTGTGTGGAGTGTGTGTGTGGCTGTGCGGAGTGAGTGTGTGTGGCTGTGTGGAGTGTGTGTGTGTGTGGCTGTGTGGAGTGTGTGTGTGGCTGTGTGGAGTGTGTGTGTGGCTGTGTGGAGTGTGTGTGTGGCTGTGCGGAGTGAGTGTGTGTGGCTGTGTGGAGTGTGTGTGTGTGTGGCTGTGTGGAGTGTGTGTGTGGCTGTGTGGAGTGTGTGTGTGGCTGTGCGGAGTGTGTGTGTGGCTGTGCGGAGTGTGTGTGTGGCTGTGCGGAGTGTGTGTGTGGTTGTGCGGAGTGAGTGTGTGTGGAGTGTGTGTGTGTGTGGCTGTGTGGAGTGTGTGTGTGTGTGGCTGTGTGGAGTGTGTGTGTGTGTGTGGCTGTGTGGAGTGTGTGTGTGGCTGTGTGGAGTGTGTGTGTGGCTGATAACACGCGACTCCCGATTTTCGCCTCTTCTTCCACGTTTATAATTGTTTGAATGTGTAAATGTGGCAATTTAGCGGTTAATCCGCGAATCGCATGCGTGTCGAACCGTGAGTCAGCGGATTCGTACGGGTCACGATCAGCTGTGATCCGTTGCGCCCCTAATGTGAATGGTAGTTTATCCTGAGTGAATCTTTAGCCACTTTAACGGTTTGTTTTTATTTCCATACCAGCATCTAGGGCTATTTTCAGGTCAAGTTTGAGGGATACCACAAATAGTGTAACCAAAGAGAGTGAATCCCACACAGCGCTACGGTTATGAGATTCACACAGTTGGTGTTCGTTCTTCTTTCTAGAATGATGATTTAGTCAGTGCAAGCGCAACCTTCCCGTCTCTCTTGAATCCGACACTGAGTGAGTTAACCTGCAGTTCCTCCACTGGCCACTAGAGGCCGGCTGCAGAAGAGACTCAGTCCCATAGACCCGCATGTTAAAATGCCCAACTTTACAGCAGAAAAACACATGTTTACAGTCTGGTGCTAAAAGTGGGTTTGGTCTATATCGCTAATGTTGCCCTTCATGACGACTGTGAGGATGGTGAATTTTTTTTTTACTCACCCGTTTAAATTATATTAAGCCTTAAAGTTGTGCATAATTAAGGGCGTGGCCACTTGAGTGACAGGTGGATTGCCTCTGATGTCACTGCTAGCCTTTGTCTGCTGTGTATTAGCGTCACGTCACCTCAGCTAATCCGCCTCGCTGCACATTTTCGGCTTTGAGCTTCAAAAACGCTCTTCATAAACACTACGGGTGACGTCACGGACATGTTTTTACAGTCTATGTTCGAGTCTCGTGAAATACATACGGAAAGGCATCGTGTCACGAGACTCTGGGATCTCTGGGAACTTTGACCACGAGCTCCATTGGGTCGATGCTCTTGTTACTGAAGGCCTGGCGTATGATCTCCACAGCGTCCTGATGGGTCACGGCCTGCAGACACACACCGTCCACCGACACCAGCTCAAAACCGGCCTGAGACACACAGAACCGGCCCATGAGCTATTCAGCTTTAGCTAAATCACACATGCTAACACTGATCATCAGGGATTCGTCTGTTACCCGCAGAGCATCACTGGTAGACGCAGCTCCTCCTGGGAAAATCCTCTCGATCTTCACCATCGGCTGCACCCTGGACTCGGATCCTCCGGATATACTGATCCCTGATCACAACACACACACACACATCATCGGACATAATTACCTGCACTTCATTTACATCATACATTACCCACTGAGGAAAGAAACATTAGACTAAATCAGGATGAAATTAATGTACAGCAGCGACACGTCTTTTCTTCCACATTCTGACGCACTGTACATCCGAGTGAAGCGAAACAGGAGAAATATAAGGCGAGTACGTCGTACTGGAAGATCCATAAAAAATAACTAGGTCAAATTTTAATAAATGAAGCATGCATGTTTGAATCAATAACATGCATTTAGAAAACAAATGTTTGGAAACAAAAGTTTTTTAGTTTTTTTTTGCTGCTGTGATTTTAAGACAGTGGTTCTTAACCAGCGGCGTTTATGTACAAATTTTATAATTAAAAACAAACTTACTTAATTAAAATTCTTTAAAAAAAGATGTAAACAGAAGTTTTTCCCCACTCAGCACAAGCTACAACACATTTTTACCACATTTGACCCTACTATTTTTGACATTTTGACTAAAATGTGTATGCATGTTTGCATCGCCCAATAAACTCTCATCACAACAGATCAAGGAGAAGCTGATTCCTCATATGACCTCCCTAAAGTCGGCCTGAAAGGGAAGTTATGCGGGTCTCTTCTCCTCTATTGTGTCGTATATTCGAGTGAAAAACACTTCTGGAACGAGAACAAATGTGGGCGGGGCTTGATTGTGTCTGTGGGGAGTTGATTGGATGGTTGTGGTTTGCTATTGGCTGATCTCATGTGAGTGACAGGTTATAGCCCCGCCCTCATCATCAGAGAAGAGAAGCTGCAAGAGGAAGTTATTCTGATTCAATATTATTAAAACAATAATGATGTGCATGGATAAATAATAATAATAATAATAACAAGAGTTGCATTGAAAAAGAGATTGAATACCCAGTGACTGCTTGGTTTTGCTGATGTGGACTGTAGTGAGCTCAAACTCTGGCTCAATGGTGACATCATTTGTCCGCTTCTCGTTCAGCCGCTGTTGCACAGCCTGTCCTGCGGGTGTCACTGTTGATCTGTGGCACTTCTTAAGGGAACCGAAGACCTGTGAGAGCAGCGGCCTCTTGTGGCGAGGCAAGTCCACTACAGTAAACAACACATCCGCTCCGACCGATTCACTCTCCGAATGTCCGTTCCTGACAGCAGCTCCTCCGCTGTGTGAACGACCCGATGTCTGGGAAGAGTCTGAGCGCGTGTTCTCCGCCAGGAGCCAGTTGGGAAGGAGCGCTGACGTCCCAGAGGACGATAATGAGTCTGAATGACTGAAAGCGTCCACAGGAACGTCCAGTAACTGGTTCTGGTCTTGATAACCGGACAGACGGAGCTCCTCGAGACCTTCCAGAAGCTGATTGTGTTTCTCCATGTCTTCAAATACACCACGCACATCTGAGGCAGAGAGACATACGCTTTCCATTTATTGTTTGGAATAATAACAAGACAACAAAACCAGGAATGAGTAAGAAGAACCGGTTCGCAATTCCCAACACATGAACCATTGTAACTTTTAAAGAACTCACGAATGATTAGGTTTTGACGTCACTAGCGGAGAATAATAACCTGATTTATTCAACAAAGTCTTGTAAACGCAGTTTTGGTTGGCATGACAATAGGTTAATTCAGTAAGCCGATTGTTGGGAGCTATCAGTGTGTATGAAAACGTGCTCATTGTCCAGTTGTTGAGACAATGAGCACTAAATGGACATGGAGAAACGCTTTTAAACAAATTTGGAAAATGTTAAACTCGAATCAGACGATTTGACAACTGGCTATTTTTTTAAATTAAGACAACTAAGTGTATCTTCATTGATGCTTTCTGACAATAGTCTTCTCTTGTTTACAACAAAACCGACCACTGTAAATCTCTTAAAGGAGAACTCCGGCGCAAAATGAACCTTTGGTCTAATAAAACATTGGTACCTAGTCAACCGTTATCTGAGATTTGTTTTCATGATAATCGAATGTAAAGAGTTTTATCTCTAAAAACTGTTTAGCGTATAACGCTAGTAATGGGGGCATATAATAAGTAAAAAGAAATCGCTAGTTTATACCACTAACAAGGCTCAAAATAGCCCCACACGAACACAGTAACATAATGAGGGTCCCTACATGCAAAACGAAGCATTGAGAACTTTGTAAGTGTACAGACCGTTTAATAAGAAGATAAAGATAAAGACAGTCCACTTCGTGTATACAGACAGGAGCCATCTTTGGAAAACAGTCTCGACTAATCAAACCACGAACGCCATTCATACAGTTCAGCTCACTTAACACGTCGTTCGTGGTTTGATTAGTCGAGACTGTTTTCCAAAGATGGCTCCTGTCTGATGGCTTAATATCTTCTTATTAAACGGTCTGAACACTTACAAAGTTCTCAATGCTTCGTTGTGCATGTAGGGACCCTCATTATGTTACTGTGTTCGTGTGGGGCTATTTTGAGTCTTGTTAGTGGTATTAACTGGCGATTTCTTTTTACTTATTATATGCCCCCATTACTAGCGTTATACGCTAAACTGTTTTTAGAGATAAAACTCTTTACATTCGATTATCATGAAAACAAATCTCAGAGAACGGTTGACTAGGTACCAATGTTTTATTAGACCAAAGGTTCATTTTGCGCCGGAGTTCTCCTTTAATTGCTAAGAGACATTCAAATCCAACAGACATTTAAATATATAACTTAAAATATTGAACTTATCAAAACTTAAATCTCTAAATGGAACAAAACCGACAGACATTTATATATACGTATATATATATATATATATATACACTCACCGGCCACTTTATTAGGTACACCTGTCCAACTGCTCGTTAACACTTAATTTCTAAGCAGCCAATCACATGGCGGCAACTCAGTGCATTTAGGCATGTAGACATGGCCAAGACAATCTCCTGCAGTTCAAACCGAGCATCAGTATGGGGAAGAAAGTTGATTTGAGTGACTTTGAACGTGGCATGATTGTTGGTGCCAGAAGGGCTGGTCTGAGTATTTCAGAAACTGCTAATCTACTGGGATTTTCACGCACAACCATCTCTAGGGTTTACAGAGAATGGTCCAAAAAAGAAAAAACATCCAGTGAGCGGCAGTTCTGTGGGCGGAAATGCCTTGTTGATGCCAGAGGTCAGAGGAGAATGGCCAGACTGGTTCGAGCTGATAGAAGGGCAACAGTGACTGAAATAACCACTCGTTACAACCGAGGTATGCAGCAAAGCATTTGTGAAGCCACAACACGCACAACCTTGAGGCGGATGGGCTACAACAGCAGAAGACTCCACCGGGTACCACTCATCTCCACTACAAATAGGAAAAAGAGGCTACAATTTGCAAGAGCTCACCGAAATTGAACAGTTGAAGACTGGAAAAATGTTGCCTGGTCTGATGAGTCTCGATTTCTCTTGAGACATTCAGATGTTAGAGTCAGAATTTGGCGTAAACAGAATGAGAACATGGAACCATCATGCCTTGTTACCACTGTGCAGGCTGGTGGTGGTGGTGTAATGGTGTGGGGGATGTTTTCCTGGCACACTTTAGGCCCCTTAGTGCCAATTGGGCATCGTTTAAATGCCACGGCCTACCTGAGCATTGTTTCTGACCATGTCCATCCCTTTATGGCCACCATGTACCCATCCTCTGATGGCTACTTCCACCATGTCACAAAGCTCTAATCATTTCAAATTGGTTTCTTGAACATGACAATGAGTTCACTGTACTAAAATGGCCTCCACAGTCACCAGATCTCAACCCAATAGAGCATCTTTGGGATGTGGTGGAACGGGAGATTCGCATCATGGATGTGCAGCCGACAAATCTGCGGCAACTGTGTGATGCCATCATGTCAATATGGACCAAACTCCCTGAGGAATGCTTCCAGCACCTTGTTGAATCTATGCCACGAAGAATTGAGGCAGTTCTGAAGGCAAAAGGGGGTCCAACCCGTTACTAGCATGGGGTACCTAATAAAGTGGCCGGTGAGTGTATATATATAACTTAAAATATTTAACTTATCAAAACTTAAATCTCTAAATGGAACAATATATGTTGGTTCCAAAACGCAATAAATCCATTTAGATTAATTTGAGTAAAAGTGTGTTTTCTTGAGTAAAACCACTATTTTCTGTTTCAAACTTTCACATAGCATTTGTAGGTCATAATAACAAAAAAAATTTAAATCCAGGTTTTGATTTTCAAAGATTTATTATAAAAACGGATTATTTTTTCCCCCAAAATGCAATAAATCCGTTTAAAAAATAAAATCTAAATGCTATTAATCCATTGAATCAATATAAAAGTTGTTTTTTTTTCATATTGAAACTGTTGAAAATACACAATAACGTAAGTTTATTAGTATAATATTTTTATTAAGAACTGTAAAGAAGATTGAAAACATTTTTCCTCCTCCCGAGTGCCTCATCTTCTTAATCTCCTCACGTAAATGATTCGAATTTCGATGCCTTATGTTTCTTACCCACCGCAGAAACAACCACAGGTTCATCAATGCCGTCAAAATTATTCATTTTTTTGTTTGTTTGTTTGTTGATCGAAAAGTACAAAATAGATAAGAAAAACTAGGTGGCCGGGTGTATTTAAGGCGCTGCCGTTACTGTTTACATTGCGTGGAATGGTGCGTTGTGATTGGTTGAGAGCGGATATATCGCATTCTGCAGAGAAGGGAGGCTGGCGTTTGTCGCGGTTTGGAAAGAAAGGGAGAAAACATGACAGAATAACACGGCGGATATCGCATTTTACTTAAAATTAAACATTGACTTTTCAATACCAACCAGATACAATACTGATTTTTCTAGTAACTAATTTTTTTTAGAAATGGCGTTTATCGCGTTTTGGAACCAAACTCTTCATATGTTCTAGGCAACACTAATAAACACAATATAGCTCGATATTGTGTCATTGATATATCTCATCATATCGCCCAGCAACTGACATATTCCGAAGTTGAAGGTCGGTCATGTTTCAACTTCAAAGTTATAAAGGTGTATCGGTCCAGTATATGGAATTATTGATGGATATAAAATGATGGTCACCTGGTGCAGGTGTGATGAGGTGGCGTCTGGGGGTGTGGCCTGTCTGAGGAGAACTCCTGCCTAAAGTAAACACACAAGAAGACCAATGAAGGGTCTGCAAGCAACTGTGAACCATTGGGCATTAAAATGTAAAGATTCTGATGGATTTACGTGAGCGACTCTTCAGAATATCATAAGCTTGCTCTTCGAATGGAGACACCGTGATGTTGAAGAGCGGAAGATCACTGGAGGACACGAGAGTCCTGGGAGATGAGAGACACCAAACTACAGTCACCTCTCTATAGCAATATCACCAATTATTGCAAAAGAATAAAAGATTGTTCTGATGAAGACTCTTTCTCCCTCTTGATTGTGATGATTATGTCTTACAGATATGAAAACCTTTTCACAATATTCTAATTTTGAATTTGGGGTTTTCATAAGCTGTAAGCCATAATCATCACAATTATAACAAATAAAGGCTTGAAATATCTCACTTTGCATGTAATGAGTCTATATAATATATTAGTTTCACCTTTTAAGTTCAATTACTGAAATAAATGAACTTTTGCACGATATTCATAATTTTTCGAGTTTCACCTGTATTACTGTGAAACCGGTATATTTTAGAAATATACAATGATATACATTTTTGGCCGTAACGCCCAGCACTGTTTGCACATGATCTCTGGATGTCACCTGATCTCTCTGAGCATCAGCAGCTTCTCTGGCGTGTTCAGGATGGCCAGGAGCGGGTGCACCAGCGTCTGAAGCCCTCGCTCTGTTAAATACTGTCAGTTGTAAACATGAGTTCAGTCTCTGGATAAAGAAACCCATGAATGATGTGAGATGGTCAGGGTGTGAGGCTGAATCTCTCTTACCCTCTGACAGATCTCCATGAGCACATCCACATCTTCATCCTCCAGCAACCTGACAGCAATTTCTCGTACGTGATTCAGAGCGTCAGATAAATCCCCATTATACGTGCCTGTAGAAACATTCAGTACTTCAGGTTTAAATCAGGTTTATATCATAACTATATCCACATTTCTATGGCCTATGCGTTCGTCTATGTGCATACAAAACTAAAGTACGCTTTGGACTAAACGATGTGGGTAACACTTTATTACCCCTGGTCCTTGTTACATATGTTACACGTACTTACCATAGTAATAACAGTAAATTATGAATAATTTCATGCAACTAACCCTCAACCAAACCCTAACCCTATAGTAAGTACATGTTAATTTTACTCAGTACTAAGTACACTGTAACAATACACCTTAAAATAAAGTGTAACCACAATGTGATCCTCTAAAAAAATATTACCCAGAATGCTCTCTGAGCGGGAGGGAGATCTGGAGCGTGATCTTGAGGAATCTCGCTTTCGGAAAAGACCGAATAAAGTTCTGGAGCGCGGCAGCGAACTGCTTTCTTCTCCTCGCTCCGCCTGCTTTCTCTTCCGTTTGCTTTCCTCTTCTGTGGCAACAGGAGACACAAACAGTTTGAGCTATTGGTACGAAACAGTTCATGTCAATCAGACAGGCACTTGTTTTGTTCAACTGGATCATAGACAAACGGTACACATGAAGGTTTTAGTGGCATTCCCAGCTAACAGGGAATAAATAAATATCAAATAAAAGCAGCCTTGGTGAGCAGAAGAGACTTCTTTTAAAAACATTAAAAATCTTACCGATCCAAATCTTTTGACTGGTAGTGTACGACAAAACAAAACAGTGGAGCAGCAGAATATAATAACTTGATAACCTCACAAACATAACAAAATATGACTATATGATCTCTTTGTTTAAACCAATTAACCCTACCTGACACAGTCACATGACTTCGTGTTCGGCGTATCGGAAGACTTCTGTTCGCTCCCGACTCTCTCTCGTCCTCTTCTCCTTCGCCCCGGATCACCGAGTCCTGCAAGAGTTCTGTGGCTCCTCGGCTCACGGTCCGCAGCAGCTCTGAACCACCCTCGTTATCAGTGGAGTCTGGGGGAAACTGGCCCTCGGCGGCGGACATTTTGGCTCCTAAGGGCAAGCTAACAGGCAGAGTAGTTTGGGAAATGCCACTCAAAGAGCCGAGGGGCGTCCCAGAGGACAGCGAGGAGGTCGACGAGTGAGACCCCGACCCGTGTGACGACGAACACACCGTTCCACTGTCGGCTGAAAGAGGTCAAAGGTTAGTGTACTTAAAGGGATAGTTCACCCAAAAATTAAAATTAGCCCATTATTTACTCACCCTCAAGCCATTAAAAAATGTCCTGGCTCTTACAAGCTTTATAATGGCAGTGAATGGCCATTTCTGTTATGAAGTTCATAAAAGTGCATCTATCCATGATAAAAGTGCATCTATCCATCATAAAAGTGCATCTATCCATGATAAAAGTGCATCTATCCATCATAAAAGTGCAACTATCCATGATAAAAGTGCATCTATCCATCATAAATGCATCTATCCATGATAAAAGTGCATCTATTCATAATAAAAGTGCATCTATCTATCATAAAAGTGCATCTATTCATGATAAAAGTGCATCTATCCATCATAAAAGTGCAACTATCCATGATAAAAGTGCATCTATTCATAATAAAAGTCCATCTATCTATCATAAAAGTGCATCTATCCATGATAAAAGTGCATCTATCCATCATAAAAGTGCAACTATCCATGATAAAAGTGCATCTATCCATCATAAATGCATCTATCCATGATAAAAGTGCATCTATTCATAATAAAAGTGCATCTATCTATCATAAAAGTGCATCTATTCATGATAAAAGTGCATCTATCCATCATAAAAGTGCAACTATCCATGATAAAAGTCCATCTATCCATCATAAATGCATCTATCCATCATAAAAGTGCAACTATCCATCATAAAAGTGCATCTATCCATGATAAAAGTGCATCTATCCATGATAAAAGTGCAACTATCCATCATAAAAGTGCATCTATTCTAGGGATGGGCATTTTTCTAAAATATTGCATTCGAATATTCGGGCTCATAAAAATCGAATATTCGAATATTCGTTTATTTAAATGACGTTTAACGAAAAAGACGTTATTTTTTAAGTTTAATTTTTTTTTACGTTTTTGTCACCATTTCTGAACACGCTTACAATTAGGCAATATACACAACAAGCTTACAATATATGTTAAAGTTTTCTTTTAGTTGAAAACATTAAACAGTAGGCCTATGTGTAAACAAAAAATATAAAAAACAAAAGCATTAATAAAAGCATGCTTAAGCAGCGCGAACGGGGAAAAACGCCTAAAGCATATTGCGGCAGATATCGTACAGAACGCACACACACACACTCGAGTCAGCATATGATTATCGTGTTTATATTGTTTCACGTTTATATTGAGAAAAACGATATCCACATGCAGGGGGATGCACCAGCAATTTATGCTCGAGGGAGAAAAGGCGCTTTGCTGACAGACGCTTCAGAGACACAAAGATAACGGTGTTCTAAGTTTCTAACAGCACTTTGCGTTTTCTGTTCTTAAACCGGTCTCCCTCAACGAAACTTAAAGGAAGTATATGTCTCAAAATCATTTTGCTATAAGATAAGTTATCATTTCGGATCACGCGGGGTCCAGCTGCGCTTACCTGCAGTCGTGAATGCAGTGATGGACAGCTGCCTTTCCTCATTCGACTGTTTGGATTTCATGTGATTTCTCATTGTGTTGATGATATTATAACTCAGATTAATTAATTAATTCGATCAAAAGTAATTCCATTTAGTAAGATCATTTTCAAGTAATTCCAAACTTCGCGAGGCAGACGACAACATTATGTGATCAAATACACACAACTTGTTAACACACTCCACAGCGCCACCCAGTGCATTTAATTATAACTGGGAGTTAGTGCTTGGGATTTATCATGGATTCACTGCATTTACGGCCAGCAAAGCAATGTAGTAAAATTCGAATAGTATTTTATTTTTCGAATAATAATTACAGATCGAATATTCGAATATTCGTGCACATCCCTAATCTATTCATGATAAAAGTGCATCTATTCATGATAAAAGTGCATCTGTCCATCATAAAAGTGCATCTATCCATCATAAATGCATCTATCCATCATAAAAGTGCAACTATCCATCATAAAAGTGCAACTATCCATGATAAAAGTGCATCTGTCCATCATAAAAGTGCATCTATCCATCATAAAAGTGCAACTATCCATGATAAAAGTGCATCTATCCATGATAAAAGTGCATCTGTCCATCATAAAAGTGCATCTATCCATCATAAATGCATCTATCCATCATAAAAGTGCAACTATCCATCATAAAAGTGCAACTATCCATGATAAAAGTGCATCTATCCATCATAAATGCATCTATCCATCATAAAAGTGCAACTATCCATCATAAAAGTGCATCTATCCATGATAAAAGTGCATCTATCCATGATAAAAGTGCAACTATCCATCATAAAAGTGCATCTATCCATCATAAAAGTGCATCTATCCATCATAAATGCATCTATCCATCATAAAAGTGCAACTATCCATCATAAAAGTGCATCTATCCATGATAAAAGTGCAACTATCCATCATAAAAGTGCATCTATCCATCATAAAAGTGCATCTATCCATCATAAAAGTGCATCTATCCATGATAAAAGTGCAACTATCCATCATAAAAGTGCATCTATCCATCATAAAAGTGCATCTATCCATCATAAATGCATCTATCCATCATAAAAGTGCAACTATCCATCATAAAAGTGCATCTATCCATGATAAAAGTGCATCTATCCATCATAAAAGTGCAACTATCCATGATAAAAGTCCATCTATCCATCATAAATGCATCTATCCATCATAAAAGTGCAACTATCCATCATAAAAGTGCATCTATCCATGATAAAAGTGCATCTATCCATGATAAAAGTGCATCTATCCATGATAAAAGTGCAACTATCCATCATAAAAGTGCATCTATTCTAGGGATGGGCATTTTTCTAAAATATTGCATTCGAATATTCGGGCTCATAAAAATCGAATATTCGAATATTCGTTTATTTAAATGACGTTTAACGAAAAAGACGTTATTTTTTAAGTTTAATTTTTTTTTACGTTTTTGTCACCATTTCTGAACACGCTTACAATTAGGCAATATACACAACAAGCTTACAATATATGTTAAAGTTTTCTTTTAGTTGAAAACATTAAACAGTAGGCCTATGTGTAAACAAAAAATATAAAAAACAAAAGCATTAATAAAAGCATGCTTAAGCAGCGCGAACGGGGAAAAACGCCTAAAGCATATTGCGGCAGATATCGTACAGAACGCACACACACACACTCGAGTCAGCATATGATTATCGTGTTTATATTGTTTCACGTTTATATTGAGAAAAACGATATCCACATGCAGGGGGATGCACCAGCAATTTATGCTCGAGGGAGAAAAGGCGCTTTGCTGACAGACGCTTCAGAGACACAAAGATAACGGTGTTCTAAGTTTCTAACAGCACTTTGCGTTTTCTGTTCTTAAACCGGTCTCCCTCAACGAAACTTAAAGGAAGTATATGTCTCAAAATCATTTTGCTATAAGATAAGTTATCATCTCGGATCACGCGGGGTCCAGCTGCGCTTACCTGCAGTCGTGAATGCAGTGATGGACAGCTGCCTTTCCTCATTCGACTGTTTGGATTTCATGTGATTTCTCATTGTGTTGATGATATTATAACTCAGATTAATTAATTAATTCGATCAAAAGTAATTCCATTTAGTAAGATCATTTTCAAGTAATTCCAAACTTCGCGAGGCAGACGACAACATTATGTGATCAAATACACACAACTTGTTAACACACTCCACAGCGCCACCCAGTGCATTTAATTATAACTGGGAGTTAGTGCTTGGGATTTATCATGGATTCACTGCATTTACGGCCAGCAAAGCAATGTAGTAAAATTCGAATAGTATTTTATTTTTCGAATAATAATTACAGATCGAATATTCGAATATTCGTGCACATCCCTAATCTATTCATGATAAAAGTGCATCTATTCATGATAAAAGTGCATCTGTCCATCATAAAAGTGCATCTATCCATCATAAATGCATCTATCCATCATAAAAGTGCAACTATCCATCATAAAAGTGCAACTATCCATGATAAAAGTGCATCTGTCCATCATAAAAGTGCATCTATCCATCATAAAAGTGCAACTATCCATGATAAAAGTGCATCTATCCATGATAAAAGTGCATCTGTCCATCATAAAAGTGCATCTATCCATCATAAATGCATCTATCCATCATAAAAGTGCAACTATCCATCATAAAAGTGCAACTATCCATGATAAAAGTGCATCTATCCATCATAAATGCATCTATCCATCATAAAAGTGCAACTATCCATCATAAAAGTGCATCTATCCATGATAAAAGTGCATCTATCCATGATAAAAGTGCAACTATCCATCATAAAAGTGCATCTATCCATCATAAAAGTGCATCTATCCATCATAAATGCATCTATCCATCATAAAAGTGCAACTATCCATCATAAAAGTGCATCTATCCATGATAAAAGTGCATCTATCCATGATAAAAGTGCAACTATCCATCATAAAAGTGCATCTATCCATGATAAAAGTGCATCTGTCCATCATAAATGCATCAATCCATCATAAAAGTGCATCTATCCATCATAAAAGTGCATCTATCCATGATAAAAGTGCAACTATCCATCATAAAAGTGCATCTATTCTAGGGATGGGCATTTTTCTAAAATATTGCATTCGAATATTCGGGCTCATAAAAATCGAATATTCGAATATTCGTTTATTTAAATGACGTTTAACGAAAAAGACGTTATTTTTTAAGTTTAATTTTTTTTTACGTTTTTGTCACCATTTCTGAACACGCTTACAATTAGGCAATATACACAACAAGCTTACAATATATGTTAAAGTTTTCTTTTAGTTGAAAACATTAAACAGTAGGCCTATGTGTAAACAAAAAATATAAAAAACAAAAGCATTAATAAAAGCATGCTTAAGCAGCGCGAACGGGGAAAAACGCCTAAAGCATATTGCGGCAGATATCGTACAGAACGCACACACACACACTCGAGTCAGCATATGATTATCGTGTTTATATTGTTTCACGTTTATATTGAGAAAAACGATATCCACATGCAGGGGGATGCACCAGCAATTTATGCTCGAGGGAGAAAAGGCGCTTCGCTGACAGACGCTTCAGAGACACAAAGATAACGGTGTTCTAAGTTTCTAACAGCACTTTGCGTTTTCTGTTCTTAAACCGGTCTCCCTCAACGAAACTTAAAGGAAGTATATGTCTCAAAATCATTTTGCTATAAGATAAGTTATCATCTCGGATCACGCGGGGTCCAGCTGCGCTTACCTGCAGTCGTGAATGCAGTGATGGACAGCTGCCTTTCCTCATTCGACTGTTTGGATTTCATGTGATTTCTCATTGTGTTGATGATATTATAACTCAGATTAATTAATTAATTCGATCAAAAGTAATTCCATTTAGTAAGATCATTTTCAAGTAATTCCAAACTTCGCGAGGCAGACGACAACATTATGTGATCAAATACACACAACTTGTTAACACACTCCACAGCGCCACCCAGTGCATTTAATTATAACTGCGAGTTAGTGCTTGGGATTTATCATGGATTCACTGCATTTACGGCCAGCAAAGCAATGTAGTAAAATTCGAATAGTATTTTATTTTTCGAATAATAATTACAGATCGAATATTCGAATATTCGTGCACATCCCTAATCTATTCATGATAAAAGTGCAACTATCCATGATAAAAGTGCATCTATCCATCATAAAAGTGCATCTATTCATGATAAAAGTGCATCTATCCATCATAAAAGTGCATCTATCCTTCATAAAAGTGCATCTATCCATGATAAAAGTGCATCTATCCATCATAAAAGTGCATCTATCCATCATAAAAGTGCATCTATCCACCGTAAAAGTGCATCTGTCCATCATAAAAGTGCATCGGTCCACCGTAAAAGTGCATCTATCCATCATAAAAGTGCATCTGTCCATCATAAAAGTGCATCTGTCCATCATAAAAGTGCATCTGTCCATCATAAAAGTGCATCTGTCCACCGTAAAAGTGCATCTGTCCATCATAAAAGTGCATCTGTCCATCATAAAAGTGCAACTATCCATGATAAAAGTGCATCTGTCCATGATAAAAGTGCATCTATCCATGATAAAAGTGCATCTATCCATCATAAAAGTGCATCTGTCCATCATAAAAGTGCATCTATCCATCATAAAAGTGCATCTGTCCATGATAAAAGTGCATCTATCCATCATAAAAGTGCATCTATCCATCATAAAAGTGCATCTGTCCATGATAAAAGTGCATCTATCCATGATAAAAGTGCATCTGTCCATCATAAAAGTGCATCTGTCCATCATAAAAGTGCATCTGTCCATCATAAAAGTGCATCTGTCCATCATAAAAGTGCATCTATCCATCATAAAAGTGCATCTGTCCATCATAAAAGTGCATCTGTCCATCATAAAAGTGCATCTATCCATCATAAAAGTGCATCTGTCCATGATAAAAGTGCATCTATCCATGATAAAAGTGCATCTGTCCATCATAAAAGTGCATCTGTCCATCATAAAAGTGCATCTATCCATGATAAAAGTGCATCTATCCATGATAAAAGTGCATCTGTCCATCATAAAAGTGCATCTGTCCATCATAAAAGTGCATCTATCCATGATAAAAGTGCATCTATCCATCATAAAAGTGCATCTGTCCATGATAAAAGTGCATCTATCCATGATAAAAGTGCATCTGTCCATCTTAAAAGTGCATCTATCCATCATAAAAGTGCATCTGTCCATGATAAAAGTGCATCTATCCATGATAAAAGTGCATCTGTCCATCATAAAAGTGCATCTATCCATCATAAAAGTGCATCTGTCCATGATAAAAGTGCATCTATCCATGATAAAAGTGCATCTGTCCATCATAAAAGTGCATCTGTCCATCATAAAAGTGCATCTGTCCATCATAAAAGTGCATCTATCCATCATAAAAGTGCATCTGTCCATGATAAAAGTGCATCTATCCATGATAAAAGTGCATCTGTCCATCATTAAAGTGCATCTGTCCATCATAAAAGTGCATCTATCCATGATAAAAGTGCATCTATCCATGATAAAAGTGCATCTGTCCATCATAAAAGTGCATCTGTCCATCATAAAAGTGCATCTATCCATGATAAAAGTGCATCTATCCATCATAAAAGTGCATCTGTCCATGATAAAAGTGCATTTATCCATGATAAAAGTGCATCTGTCCATCATAAAAGTGCATCTGTCCATCATAAAAGTGCATCTATCCATGATAAAAGTGCATCTATCCATGATAAAAGTGCATCTGTCCATCATAAAAGTGCATCTGTCCATCATAAAAGTGCATCTATCCATCATAAAAGTGCATCTATCCATCATAAAAGTGCATCTGTCCATGATAAAAGTGCATCTATCCATGATAAAAGTGCATCTGTCCATCATAAAAGTGCATCTGTCCATCATAAAAGTGCATCTGTCCATGATAAAAGTGCATCTATCCATGATAAAAGTGCATCTGTCCATCATAAAAGTGCATCTGTCCATCATAAAAGTGCATCTGTCCATCATAAAAGTGCATCTATCCATCATAAAAGTGCATCTATCCATGATAAAAGTGCATCTGTCCATGATAAAAGTGCATCTATCCATGATAAAAGTGCATCTGTCCATCATAAAAGTGCATCTGTCCATCATAAAAGTGCATCTATCCATGATAAAAGTGCATCTATCCATGATAAAAGTGCATCTGTCCATCATAAAAGTGCATCTGTCCATCATAAAAGTGCATCTATCCATGATAAAAGTGCATCTATCCATCATAAAAGTGCATCTGTCCATGATAAAAGTGCATCTATCCATGATAAAAGTGCATCTGTCCATCATAAAAGTGCATCTGTCCATCATAAAAGTGCATCTATCCATGATAAAAGTGCATCTATCCATGATAAAAGTGCATCTGTCCATCATAAAAGTGCATCTGTCCATCATAAAAGTGCATCTATCCATGATAAAAGTGCATCTATCCATCATAAAAGTGCATCTGTCCATGATAAAAGTGCATCTATCCATGATAAAAGTGCATCTGTCCATCATAAAAGTGCATCTATCCATCATAAAAGTGCATCTGTCCATGATAAAAATGCATCTATCCATGATAAAAGTGCATCTGTCCATCATAAAAGTGCATCTATCCATCATAAAAGTGCATCTGTCCATGATAAAAGTGCATCTATCCATGATAAAAGTGCATCTGTCCATGATAAAAGTGCATCTATCCATGATAAAAGTGCATCTGTCCATCATAAAAGTGCATCTATCCATGATAAAAGTGCATCTATCCATGATAAAAGTGCATCTGTCCATCATAAAAGTGCATCTGTCCATCATAAAAGTGCATCTATCCATGATAAAAGTGCATCTATCCATCATAAAAGTGCATCTGTCCATGATAAAAGTGCATCTATCCATGATAAAAGTGCATCTGTCCATCATAAAAGTGCATCTGTCCATCATAAAAGTGCATCTATCCATGATAAAAGTGCATCTATCCATGATAAAAGTGCATCTGTCCATCATAAAAGTGCATCTGTCCATCATAAAAGTGCATCTATCCATGATAAAAGTGCATCTATCCATCATAAAAGTGCATCTGTCCATGATAAAAGTGCATCTATCCATGATAAAAGTGCATCTGTCCATCATAAAAGTGCATCTATCCATCATAAAAGTGCATCTGTCCATGATAAAAATGCATCTATCCATGATAAAAGTGCATCTGTCCATCATAAAAGTGCATCTATCCATCATAAAAGTGCATCTGTCCATGATAAAAGTGCATCTATCCATGATAAAAGTGCATCTGTCCATGATAAAAGTGCATCTATCCATGATAAAAGTGCATCTGTCCATCATAAAAGTGCATCTATCCATCAGAAAAATATCCATATTTAAAACTTTATAAAGTAAAATAACAAGCTTCCAGCCAAACGAACATACCGGCTAGGATGGCTTGAGGGAGAGTAAATCATGGGATAATGTTCATTTCTGGGTGAACTGTCCCTTTAAGGATTAGCAGATTATTGTTGTTGTTTCCTGATATTTTATCTTACATTTATTCATCCAGCTGAATTCTGTCACCATTTCTTTGTACGCTGGATATCTGCCCGCTTCCTGTGAACAACAATCCACATCACATCCAAGCTGTCAGTTATCATTTTGTCTGCCAGTTTGTACGATGGAACTCTATTGGGAAAATAATAAACGTTAATACCGTTTCAAAAGCCACAATACTTCACTTTACACGTGTTAACACAACTCTAGTGTGATGAAATCGCCATCTTATGAATTTTTTGTAGTTTGTAGTTTTTTGAAAGCTAATATTTCAATAATTTAAGACACATTCAGGGTCACATGACACATCTTATATATTTTGATTGGCCTTTATTTTTAAAATTATTTATTTGAATGAAACCTTTTTATGGCTTAATTTTTTTTAATTGTTTTGATTTTAACATTATTTATTCATTTTAATTTTACATTTTTATGATTTATAATTAACCAACACAATTGTATTCTGGTTCTCTGATGTCAGTTACATAACATTTAGGTAAACAATAAAAAATATATCAATATATATACATTTTTTTAAGCGTTTAGTTTGGACTGTTTTTATTTTTAAATTACGTGCTGTGTTTTAAATAATTGTGGTTTATTTATATTCTTATGATTTAATTAATATTTCAATAATTTAACACATTCACATGTTCTTTGATATTTTTGATGGTCACATGACATGCAGGTAAAAAAAAAATATTTCTTCTTTTTTTGTGAGTGTTTTATTTCGATTTATTTTTATTTTGAAATGATTAATTTATTTAAATTTTACATTTGTATTAATTAATATTTCAATATATAAAACATTGATTTTTAAAATGCATTTTATTTTTGAATTATTTGTGGTTTATTTGTGTTTTATGATTTAATGAATTATAAGCTTTTCATAATTTTTCGCGAACCCCAGTTTGTGTTGGACAAAGTTGACTGTTTTGTCTGCACTGAAGTAACTGTTAACAGTCTGACTTATTTCCTCCCAAAGCTTTTCTTGCTGGTCATGAATGTTGGCATGTTTATATGGACATTATGTGTGTATGAGTTTGCAGGAACACCTGATCCAGGAACAGAGTGAATAATGTACAACCTGACACACAGAAACCAGAGAGGCTCATCAACCACCTGCTGTAGGTAAGTGTGTGTGTGTGTGTGTGTGTTAGTGAGTATGTGAGTGAGAGAGAGTATGTGTGTGTGAGTGTCTGTGTTAGTGAGAGAGAGAGAGTGTGTGTGTGTGTGTGTGTGTGTGAGTGAGTGTGTTAGTGAGTATGTAAGTGAGAGAGAGTATGTGTGTGTGAGTGTCTGTGTTAGTGAGAGTGTGTGTGTGTGTGTTAGTGAGTATGTGAGTGAGAGAGAGTATGTGTGACTGTGTGAGTGTCTGTGTTACTGAGAGAGTGTGTGTGTGTGTGTGTGTGTGTGTGTGTGTGTGTGTGTGTGTGTGTGTGTGTGTGTGTGTGTGTGTGTGTGTGTGTGTGTGTGTGTGTGTGTGAGTGTGTGTGAGTGTGTTAGTGAGAGAGAGTGTGTGTGTGAGTGGGAGAGTGTGTGTTAGTGAGTTTGAGTGAGTGTGTGTGTGTGTGTGTGAGAGTGAGTGTGTATGTGAGTATGTGAGTGAGAGAGAGTATGTGTGTGTGAGTGACTGTGTTAGTGAGAGAGTGTGTGTGTGAGTGTGAGAGTGCGTGTTAGTGAGTTTGAGTGAGTGTGTGTGTGTGTGTCTGTGTGTGTGTGTGAGAGTGAGTGTGTATGTGAGTGAAAGAGAGTATGTGTGTGTGCGCGTGTGTGTTTGACTCACTTTAATAGTCAGTATGGCATGAGGTTGACTCTTCAGCACTTCCACGGCTCTGTAATGGTTGATGTTCTCAAAGCTCACGCCATTGGCTGACAGGATCTGATCCCCCATCTTGACTCCGCCCTGTTCCGCCAGACCGCCCGGATCCAGCCTGCAAACACACAAACACACACAAAACACACATCAAAACACAGAAGAAAACACAACACATTTTCACACTGTTTCAGAGCTAGTTTTTCCCAAAAGCATGTGAGAAACACATGCCAACTAATATTACTAATATTACTCTAATACATTGTTTACTGTAATAAATGTTTTAAATATGAATCCCTTTGTGGTCTAATAGTTCTTATGTGGTTTCTTGTGCTTATCTTTAATGTGGTCAGTTGTTGTTTAATGAGGTTTTTATTGGTCTGTTTTATTATTATTTTTTTACTTAATCTGATTTTCTGTCTGATGTTAAAACCTTCAAACTTCAAGCTTTAATATTTTTAACATTCAGACAAGGCTTTGTCAAGGCAACATCCATATTTGTCAATAAACTTTATCTGAAGTTGATTAATTTATATGTGATTTGTTTTAATTAGTGAAAGTGCCAATCCATCCAAACAACTTAATCACTTCAAAAATGCTATACAATAATAAAATGCTATAAAATTTAAAAGAAAAAAAAATCTTTGGTGATGTTCCTCCTTTTGACCACCAGATGGCCACAGAAAATTGAAAAATTACAAACATTTACATTTATTAATTTAGCAGGCGCTTTTATCCCAATGAGAACAATGGAAGCGGTGAAACTAACAATATGCAAGTGCTGTGACCCTTCCCAGTTTAATCTGACGCAGTACATGAATATTTATTTTTTTATAGATATAGAATAGAAAGTGTTAGTATTAATGGCTCAAGTGTTCAAACAGAATGATGAAGCCACAATAATGCAGCAGTGCATATAAAGTGGTTGGTGTGTGTGTGTGTGTGTGTACTGACTTGGACACGTAGATGCCCAGGCTGTACTCTCGTCCTCCGCGGATGTTGAGTCCCAGTACGGGCTGGCTGTGTGAGAGATTGAGGTGGACCGTTCGACACAGCGCTCCATCTGAGCTGTACACCGACACACGAGCGCCCGATTCCTCCACCACCATCCGCCGGTGGATCAGATCCACCCTGAACACACACACACACACACACACACGCACCGAGAGTCACAGACACGGACGCCGAACCGTTGGTGACCCGTATAAAAAGAAAATATATTTTCCCATATATGAATGATCAATATATTAAATGGTTTAACAGTATATTTGAAAATATACAGAATAAGATATAGTGTTAATATCAATATATTGAATAATACATAAGGAATTGCCGCTTTTCATATATTGAAAAATGATGTGACAATATATTTACTAATATATCATAATATATGTAATATTATATATTTAGTAATAGTCTTTATAATATATAGATGTACATGTGATCAGATATGGTACTGCATGTGTAATATATTGCATATATATTTACTCATAAACACACATATATAGAGAGAAATATATAATATAATATGTTTCTTATATTTTTATTATTATTTACATTATAAATGTTTCATATTTTCAAGCTAGTTAACAAAAGCACACCTGCATGTACTAAAGTATTTAGCCAGGAGACTATGACACCGAGCTGAGAAGAGCACGGACATTACTTTTATAGCAGGGCTCCAGACTAACTTTTTGCCTTGGTTGCACTGGTGCGCCTAACTTTTTTATTTAGGTGCACCAGCACAAAATTTAGGTGCACTAAAAATTTTCCTCGTCTCGCGTCGCCTTTAACGCCACAATTTCAAGGTCACCTTTTTATCACGTTCCATATACATGCATATATATTATGTAAATGCTTTTAAACAAGAATAAGAATAATAAGGTGTAGTTTTTTTGTTTTTTTTAGCACAATTATACTGTATATAAAAATATAAATCTTAAAAAAAAAAAAAAACATTTAAAGTGCTGTTTTTACATTGTTCAAGTTATGGCAGGGTGTTGACGCAAATTTCACAATTCGATTCAATATTGATTATTTTGGATATCAGGTACAATACATGGCAAATTTTCTCAAGAAAAACAAATCTCAACTAATGCTGTAAACTGGGAGTCAGTTGTAGCCTATAGGCTTCATTAGCCTACTATTATATTGAAGGTAAAAATGACCTGATTTGTACACAAACACTTAAATTTCACTTTTATTTTTTTTATAATAAAGTTATATGAAATATAAACATTTAAATGGTGGCTGCATAAAAACTTGCCAGATTTTTTCAAACAACATGCATTAAATATTGAAAAACATTAAAAATTATAATGAATATGCAATATGGTGCATATATTAGGCAAAATGCTCCTCTAGAGTTAATTTTTCTAGCTAGCTAACGAGTTTATGGTCACTGGATATGTTTTTTCTGAGGTAAATGTGACGTTACATTACATTGTTTACGAGCGTTTTACTGACGTCTTTCCACGGTTGAAACACTGATTGAGCGATTCCATGTGAAAGATACTGATTTCGATAAGTTGTACTCTATCTTTTAACACACTTTCAGACGTTCATTCAGGTTTATTTCGCACTGTAACTGGTATTATTAAGGCAGAAGAGGAGATCATGTGCGCTCCGCGCTGCTGCTTCTCTTGAGCTGAGATGAGCCAGAGCGATCTCACGCCACAGCGTCAATACACTATTTATGTTTTTGAATTTCGTAAGAAAATGGACCTAATTTGAAATCTGAGACTTTGTTTCATATCAATAGTAACAAAGCACAAAGATTATTGCGATTTATTGGATGGGATGCTCGCTACAATGTTCCATTCATTCATCAACTGAAAACAGCAGAGCCCAACGGTTCGTAAAAATGAGAATCGATTAAAATCGAGAAATCAATATTTTTCACCTAGCCCTAGTTCAAGTAGCCTACATTTTTAAAAGTTTCTTCGTCGTCTGTTTTCTTGCGTTTATTAAGCTGATGCTGCTGATTGCTGTAACTGATTCTCTGGTGCTCACGTCGCAATTTATTTCAATCACACAGCACAGAGCATTTTAGAGCATTTTCAGCATGGAGCATAACCACAGCCAATCAGAGGCAAAGACCCGCCCAATCGCTATCTCTGATTGGTTTAGACCACGATATGATCCAACCATGCGTGCAAGGAGAACAAAAGACTCGTTTGTGGAGAGGCAGCGGATGCGATCATGCGAGAACGTTATTAGGTGCCTGGTGCGACCTAGGAAAAAATTTAGTCGCACCCTTACAAATTTTGGTCGCACTCTAGAGCCCTGTATAGTAATTACAGTCTAGATTATATTCGGCCAATCATCAACGGAACCGCAGACTCTTCAGCACAACGGCCCCAAACACTCAGACACACCAGAACCCCCAAATAATAGAACATTAAACACTAACACATCTCCCCTGTATTAATATCGAGCAAAACACATTAAATAACACTTAATTTGAACATTTACTCTCCTTTCACAGTCGGAAGCAAAGCATGCTGGGAACTAGAAATCTGTTGTAACTCATTCTGTGAATGTGTGTGTATATATGTGTGTGTGAACATACATTAAAATTTATATGGGAACATGTATGTGAAATATATGTACAAAATAAAGGATACAACTTTGTGAATATTACATGCAATGCTATTTTTGTCTTCATTTATAAATATGTTATATGTGTTAATATATAGCCATACATGGTCAATGCATTTATTGCAGTATATTGAAAAATATAAGCGCTAGTTTCCCATTTATGGAAATGTATTATGTAATATATCGCAGTATATTCTGCAGTATATTCCCATATATGTTTGTTCTGACACTCACCACGTGGTTTTCTCATTGGTGTAGCGAACGCCCGGGACGCGGCCCACGCGCTGGACGACCAATCGGAGGCGAGCGTGACCCGACAACACCTTCACTGCGCTGCTCATGCTAATGTTCTCCAGACTCACGCCGTTCACCTCCACTAGCTTATCACCGACACACAGACCCGCCAACTCTACACACACACACACACACACACACACACACACACAGAGGTTTGTTTTGCTATACTTGTGAGGACATTCCATTGATGTAATGGTTTTTATACTGTACAAACTGTATCTTCTCTCCCCCTACACACTAACCCTACCCATCACACACACACACACTAACCCTACCACTAAACCTACCCATCACACACACACACACACACACACACTAACCCTATCCATCACACACACACACACACACACACACACACACACACACACACACACACACACACACACACACACACACACACACACACACACACACACACTAACCCTACCCCTAAACCTATCCATCACACACACACACACACACACACACACACTAACCCTACCCCTTAACCTACCATCACACACACACACACTAACCCTACCCCTAAACCTACCATCACACACACTTACCCTACCCATCACACACACACACACTAACCCTACCCATCACAGAAAACTGTATGCATTTTAAAAATTTTAATAAAACACTGTTTAGTAGATTTTAAAGACATTTAAAATACGAGGACACATGAGATGTCCTCAGAAATCCCAAAAACAAACACACACACACACACACACACACACAAAACAAAACAAATATTGCAATTAGGGCTGTGTATCGAATTCGATACTTTTTAGGCACAGACCGAATTGCCTCGATACCATCTTGTCGTTCAGTATCAGATTTCGAACCCTGAGGTGTTAATCTTGTCAACGTCGGTGAGCCAATAAGCATCCAGCATGTATGATGTGCTTACATCCAGTGCTGGTGATTGGCTGTGGCGAGGCATCAAGGAAAAACACTAGTTTACGCCGGCTTGTGTTGACAGAGACACGCAGAACATGCAGGATTCTTTCATTCGTTTTAGAAAACTTAATTCAACCATCCAGAAGAAAAGAAGAAACGTTAAACTAGATATAAACTAGGTACGTTAAACTAGGTATAAAGTGTGCCTATTCTTAAGGTCGACTGCATTAACAGTTTAGCTTTCTTGTTTCCCCTCTTCACATTAATGTAACAGCCTCTGCTATATCATTATCTGTTCGTAAAATGTGTAACGGAAGAAGTCTCGTACACAGCCCTAGTTGCAATATTCGTCAATTATGAAACATACACTACCGTTCAAAAGTTTGGGGTCGGTACGATTTTAAATACTTTTAAAAGAATTCTCTTCTGCTAACCATGGCTGCGCTTATTTGATTAAAAATACAACAAAAATCAGTTATAGTATTAAATATTATTCCAGTGTAAATCAGCTGTTTTCTGTGTGAATATGTAGTAAAGTGTAATTTATTCCTGTGATCAAAGCTGAATTTTCAGCATCACCAGTGTCAGTGTCTTCAGTGTCACATGATCCTTCACAAATCAGTATAATATGAGGATTTGATGCTCAAGAAACATTTATGATTATTATCAATGTTGAAACAGTTGTTGGTCTGTCAGTTGTACAGTTTTGTTTTTTAGGATTCTTTGATGAATAGGAAGTTCAAAAGACTTTTGTAACATTATAAATGTCTTTACTGTCACTTTCGATCAAATTAATTATTCCTTGATAAATAAAAGTATTGATTTATTTCCTCCAAAAAATAAAAATAAAATTCTCACTGACCCCAAACTTTTGAACGGTAGTGTATATGAAAGCAGCTCTACATTAGACAATAGTGTCATTATTCATCTCAATTCAGTTGTCTGTACGTTTTTTACCTGATCTTGGATCAGTTTTATAATGTAGCCGCTTTTATCTGCACATTTGTAGAATACAAACGCAGTGCCTGATTAGCCAAACCCTTCACACAACATGCAAACAAGCTCGTGGCGTCTCACCCGCAGCGCTGTTCTTCTGCACTTTACTGATGAACACACCGAGTCCGTGTTCAGATCCTCCTCGCACACTGAAGCCCAGGTGACCATCATCATCGCTCCTGACGAGTGTCAACCTCAGCATCGCGCCTGCGGACACACACACACACACGCTGCTTCATTCACTTCATCTGCTTTAGGGCTTCAACAACTAATCGATAAAATCGAAAATGAAAATCATCGATAATGAATCTCATTATCGATTAGTCGCGTCTGCCCACCGTCAATGGAAGTCAAAATGCAACTACAGTGGTGTGAATAAGTTATTACCCCCATGCTAAAGTTGCCTAAAAAGAGGAATAAAAAATCATCTTTTGGAAATTGATCTTAATGCCTTAATTAGAAAAATGAGGAAAAATCCAACCTTTAAGGACACCAATTTTCTTTGTGTATGAATAATGTATCATAAATAAATAAATGTTCTTCCTTAAAATACAGGGTGCATAAGTCAGGCCCCCCCCCTATGTTAAATTCCCATAGAGTCAGGCAGATTTTTATTTTTAAAGGCCAGTTATTTCATGGATCCAGGATAATATGCATCCTGATAAAGTTCCCTTGGCCTTTGGAATTAAAATATCCCACATCATCACATTCCCTTCACCATACCTAGAGATTGGCATGGGGTACTTTCCATAAGATCATCTTTCAATGCAAATCAAACCAGCTATTAGGCTAACTGAAATAACACCATGCCAATCTCTAGGTATGGTGAAGGGAATGTGATGATGTGGGATATTTTAATTCCAAAGGCCAAGGGAACTTTATCAGGATGCATATTATCCTGGATCCATGAAATAACTGGCCTTTAAAAATAAAAATCTGCCTGACTCTATGGGAATTTAACATAGGGGGGGGGCCTGACTTATGCACCCTGTATTTTAAGGAAGAACATTTATTTATTTATGATACATTATTCATACACAAAGAAAATTGGTGCCCTTAAAGGTTGGATTTTTCCTCATTTTTCTAATTAAGGCATTAAGATCAATTTCCAAAAGGTGATTTTTTATTCCTCTTTTTAGGCAACTTTAGCATGGGGGTAATAACTTATTCACACCACTGTATGTATAGTGGAGGAAACTGAGTGAGCTGGTGCGGGATACGTGTGAAACTCGGAAAATTAGAATATCGTGCAAAAAATTATAATTTTGATGATTATCATGTCTTACAGCTTATGAAAACCCCAAAATCAAAATCTCATAAAATTAGAATATTACATGAAATCAATAAAAAAACGGATTTTAAATACAGAAATGTCGGCACTCTGAAAAGTATAATCATGCATATATATATATTAAATATGTGTAACAGGGCTTCCCTGTCAGGCGCTTTGACAGAGGCGTGTGCCGTTTAATGTGTGATGTGTTTCCTCGGCGCTAAACTTTCATTTTTCGGTTATATCCTTACCTGTAAGTGTTACAAATCCAAGCGAGTATTTCCACTTCAGACTTTACTGAATGAGCGCCTCAAACAGAGGAAGACCATTAATATTCATCGAATCAAAATATTCATTTTGCTGAAATATCTGGTGATGGACGTTAAATTTAAGGTTAAAAGTCAACATTAACATATTTGTAATTCGAGTATTTTATGAGAGTGGGGACTGTAGAGATAACTGCGTGAAATTGAATATAAAGTAAGATGTTTCTTACATTTACAGGATAAAGAAATAACAGGTCACTGTGTCCCGAGAGAATGTGTGTGTTCCTGCAGAACATTCCTCTTATCGTTAACACTGAGTTTGTGTTTTCATTTTTCTTTATTATTATCTTCATTTTTAATGTAATGATTTAAACTGTCCTTTTGCTTTATAGCTCTTTTGCACATAGCATAGATATCGATATATTCACTATGTTTTCATTGCATTGAGTTTGCACATTTGTTTGAAGGACAGCTTTGGCCAGGACGTGGAATAGGCCTAGTGCGTTTTGTTAATTAAAAAAGGGGACTTTTTAAATACGATTAATCGATTAATCGAAGAAATAATCGACCAACTAATCAATTATTATTCACCCGTCTCACCCTCCATCCTGACGGTCGACTGGTCCCAGGATTCCTGCGATCTCTCGGCTCACTGCGTTACAGAACACACACACATCCATCAGTATTCATAAAACACACCCATCAGTATTAATAAAACACATCCATCAGTATTAATAAAACACATCCATCAGTATTAATAAAACACATCCATCAGTATTAATACATCAAAATCATGTCAAAACTCACCAGAAACACTGCTGGTCCCAGAGGAAAATATTGTTTATTTTGATTAGTGATTCTGTTTACAGCTTCTACTGTATTTGATGTTGATGTATAATTAAAAAGTCATACGTGTTCCAATTTATAAGTGATTTAAATCAACCCTATAAAGCATACTGTATCATATTTGATAAGCAAATTTCATGAACATGATCAAACCTTCGCTGATAAACAATCTCCTCCAGTCCTTCTGTCTCTGACTGATAGTTTAGACTGTTTTATCAAGTAAACGTATTTTAGTTTAATTGTACAAACGTCCTCCTTCAGCTCGTGCTTCACGTGTCTTTCTGCTGTCAAATCTGCTCTGATTATGTTTGATATTATTAATAATATTTCAAGATGAACACTTACTGGACTGAAGCAGCTTTACTTGATTGTCCAAACATCATTTTATGTTCAAATCATGAGTATCAAATATGATCATCAGGCTTTTGAGAAAGATTTATTAGTTGATCTCTCAATCATCATTGTATTGCATTATATGTTTTGATCATAAAATATCATCTTATATCATTTTTGCTTAGTTTTGAGTCTCTGGATAAAATTGAGCTGTTTTTCCCTCCATATTTTCTCTATATCAGACTATATTAACAGTAAAAGCTTGATGTATGACTTATGAAATATGATACTCAACAACAAAAACACATAACGTTATGCAAACTTTTCTTTTTACAGGGTTAATTGAAGTAGTTGACATAAAATGATTAAAAAAAGTCTGTTTTATATGCTTCAAAAACTGTGAAAATCAGTTGAACTTTGGTACACTGTAATGGTATCCAAAAACCACTTTGATAACATAATAAAAATGATTAGCATAATCATATACAGTAGCACATTTGTTAGTTTTTTGTTAGTCAATAACAAGATAAATTCATCAATTCACTGTCACTTTTATGAGGAGTTTAATTATTAATCTTGCGTTGATGTTGATAATTGGGGCACTTTTTGGTTGATCCATGAACGCGCTTCTTTGAACGTGATGATGTTGACGCGCAGCTCGTGTCATATAATCCCGCGGTCACGCGCGCGCGTTCACGAGACTCAGGTGTCATTCCTCACCTCAGACAGCAAACTAACGCAAAAAAACTACTTTTATGCCAGTACTTGTCGATATTCAGAGAGTTTTTAATGTGTTCAAACACTTACAGGCTATCAGAAGCAGCGCCGTTAATTTCAATGCTGAATAACGGCTGTCCGTCACTATCATGAAACGCTCCGTGTTGGTTTAATCAATAAGTGAAAGACGCCACAGGTGAATGATATACCTTTATAAAACAACAATAAATCTCTGATCGACATTTGTTAACACTTTACCCGAAAGATGAAATGTTTACCTGTTTAAGTACTTATTTCCATCCTGAGGCGAGTATCGTAATTTCTGACGCCTGCGGCTAAACCGCACTCTGCCGTGACCCGCTCTGTGATTGGCCGCACTGAAAAGGTTGCAAGGTTTCTATTGGATTCCACAACTGTCAATCTTCTCTCGGGGGCGTGACATGTTGTGTAGTTCATTTTCAACTTT